TTGGAGTGTCTGTTTGTAATATTGAAATAACCGTTTTTAACTACATGCATATGACTATAAATATGGTACATACACCAAATTAACATTTTTTACAATTTTTGTCTGTCTGTCTGTCTGTTTATTCTGGCTAATCTCTGAAATAACTGGACCGATTGTGACGGGACTTTTTTTTGGTAAATAGCTATCAGCTATAATAAGGCTACTTTTATTTTAGAAAAATAAAGTTAAATTCCACGCAGACGAAGTCGCGGGAGCAGCTAGTAAATAAATAAAACCGTCAGTCACGCAGTCAGTAGCGCCGATACACCACCCTTCAGCCAGTATTCCTCCTTCATGAAGGATGTCAATTATATTATAAATATATTAAATATATTAATTATATTAAATATATTCTTATCAGTAATTATATACTTGAAAATAGTCAATAAATATATTGACTCTCTCGACAAATTACTATTGCGGAGTCAGGCAGAGAGAACAATTTTGAACACCTATTTTTTATACCATATAGGTAGCAAAAAATGCATACGAGCCATCTGATGGTAAGCGATTACCGTAGCTCATGGACGCCTGAAAAACTTTATACCCTTAAAGGCACATGCTTGTAGTCCCTTTAGAAATCCTCGGTACTTCACCAAGGTACTTAATTTCATAATCTAAATGTACTCGAGAGGAAGCTCCTCTAATTTCTACTGATATCAGTCAATCATCAAATGACGCCTTTCTCTGCCTCCACATTTATATTAATCTACTAGCTGTTCCCGCGTGGAATTTAATTTTATTATTTTATTTTTCTGAAATAAAAGTAGCCAAGTTACTCATTACATCAGTTACCTACCAAAAAAACTCCTGTCAAAATCGGTCCAGCCATTTCAGAGATTAGAGACAAACAGACCGACAGAAAGGCAGTCAAAAATTATAAAAAAAAATATTTTGGTACATGTACCGTATTTATATTCATACGCCTGTAGTAAAAAACGGTTATTTCAATATTACAAACAAACACTCCAATTTTATTTATATGTATAGATTAGAGCACAAAAGTAGTATGGGACGGACGGACAAACTAGTACGGAAGAACGCTACCCAAGATGAACTACACGAGCAAGTTCTCAGATCCTTCGCTCTTTAGTTGATTTTATAAAATTGACATTATACTATAGAGGTCTTACCGAAAAGCTAAGAACACTGATATGCGTGATAAAATTAAAATATCGTTGTATTTTTTTTTTTTATGGATGATAATGGAATGGTGCACCCGCCTGCGCTATCGGTTTACGCTGGCGGGGCACCAGTGAGGATGATAAGATGAACATGAGGTCAGGTCAGTTAGCCCATCGTCACAAATTCACGAGGAATTTATCACGATGGTTTCCAGGGGGAACCGCGTGGAGGTCAACCTGACATGGTATATTGCTAGCTATGGGATCATTAGTCCACATTACTAACAATCCCCTTCCCCCCTAATATCGTTGTATTCGCAGCCTTGAAGAAAACAAGAGTGTCTTAAAAAAACAAGAACGCACTTAAAAATACAAGAGCAAAGTAGTTTGGCGTATAGAATAACCGTCGGAGAATAAAATAACCAGATTCTATGTAGATGCCATTCGAAAGTCGAGTCTTCAAATAGTACTGCAAAAGCAATGTGCTCAATGGTGAAGTGAAGCAGTTGATTGCTTTAGGATACAATGAGACTGGCAATATATTACAATTCATACAACAGTCCCTAAAATTCAACGCAAATAAAAAAACTGTAGGCCATCTTCTTTTGACTCGAGTTGAGAGCGAACGAACTATAAATAAAATAAGAATATTGAGCGATCCGTATCGCGAACTATTACGCGCAAGCCTAAATTCGAATTCAAATTAATGGAACACCAAAATTGTACACCAATTCCAAATCCGAAACAATTGAACGACTCGTTCATTTGAGTGATATATTCATTCAAGAGAAGTTGATAACTGTTTTGGACAAGATTGAAAATTGTTTGAGTCACTTCCGTGTAAACTTTAGACTTATCCCTTCCTTGGCTAGAAGGAAACCGCAGTGCCGTACACAATCGTACTAAAGCCATAAACTCATATACATGTATTTTGATGGTGACCCATAAACACTATAGAACTACAAGTAAACACAATAAGAGTTCAGAGCAAGTTAGATTAAACCAGAGTTAAGTCTCGGAGGGTATAAGTTCTGCAATCGCTAACATTGTGTGGAGTTATTAAGTTAATATAACTCGTTTGTAAAGCTTATTTTAAGTTTTTCATTTTTACAGCAATATGAAAACTTTTAATTTGATAAAGTTGCACTATTTTATTTATTAGTAAAAGAAAACACACAGAACGATACAAACAATCGTACTCATGAATGCAAATTTTTGTGCCGTTCGAGGAATCGAACCTGCGACCATCGTAAGTAAGGCAGTGTGCTAAACCGCTAGACCACCGGAGTATCCTAATACACCCTATCTTAGAGGGGAAGGGGATTGTTAGTAATGTGGATTAAAAACCCCATTGCTAGCAATGTACCATCTCGGTTGACCTCCACGCGGTTCCCCCTGGAAACCATCATGTTAAATTTCTGGTGAATTTGCCACGATGGGCTAATTTAGCTGACCTGCGGGGCACCAATGGAGGATGATAAGATGAGCCTCATATCATCCTCCACTAGTGCTCCGCCAGTGTATACCGTTAGCGCAGGCGCGTCCACTATTCCATTATCATGCAGAAGAATACACCTCATCTATTGAGCACCCGTCATACAATAGCCTCAGATGGGTACTTAAAAATAGCTGGTTTCACCGCAATAAAGTAGCGTAAACGAACGACGCTGGGGTCCACCCCAGCAGTATGCCCGGGCAAGGAGTCCAGCGGTCCATAAAAACCTGCGGATGACCAAGAATGCCCCTCCGATCGATCCCCCGTCCAATTCATACGGGTATCGAAATTACGACAGCCTGAGCCGAGGTTCGAGCCCCTAGCGGTGCCCTCAGACTAAGTCGTATTCGTCAGATGAGAGTTGGCCTTCAGCAGCTCCAAAAGTCATTCCGCGGGTTTTAAAGAGAAGAGAAGAGAAGAGTGCCATCTTCACTCGCCCCCATCGTCCGGTGAAGCTGTAAAGGCCAGCTGCGGCCAACTGCATTGGAGTCCGAAAAAAAAGGATGACCCAGAAGAAGTGCCGCCTATATAGAGGACTAGCTTTTGCCGGCTTCGTTCGCGTTAATTTATACCCTTAGGGGTGGAATTTATCAAAATCCTTTCTTAGGGGATGCCTACGTCATAGTAGTGCTTTATGCATGCAGTTTTAGACCGATCGGTTTAAAATTGACAAAATGTCATACAAACTTTCATCCCCTATTTTATCCCCTTGGGGGTAGAATTAATCAAATTCCTTTCTTAGCGGATGCCTACCTCATAACATCTACCTGCATGCCAAATTTCAGCCCGATCCGTCCAGTGGTTTAGGCTGTGCGTTGATAGATGATTATGTCAGTCACCTTTGAGTTATATATATTTAGATTCACTTAAAAAATATGAAGAGACACAAATAGCAAAAAAGCCATCCGTAATAATCACTTTACCTTTTCCTTAATGTATAATATTAATACTAATAATATTCAAACATAACAAGATTAAGATGACTAAACATTAGGTATTTTTATGAGTTGTCAGAATGAAGTATATCAAAAATTGTAGATTAAACCTTATGGCATTGTAATAAGGGATATAATATTCACCGCCTTTGTTGATACGCAAACTATCCGCAAATGTATGTACATGGACCTTTTTATCTACTGATAACGGCTGCCTTGCCATAGATATAGGAATTGTACAAACAGCACACCACGTGAAATTACAGGTTAAGAAAAGACATTTTTTTTTATTTTAATAAATAAAAATTCCACACGGACGTAGTCGCCGGTAACAGCTACTATCAAATAAAGCATATAAAGTCAAAGGTAAGAGCTAGTCCCAAATAAATCACTATAAAATCCTTATTATTTTTCTCTGTCCATAAAAATTTGAAAATTCAAAATTTAGAATATCTTTATTCATGTAGGTCTATTACAGACTCTTATGATATATCAAATCTACCGTCAGTTCGGAATGATTTCGAGATGAGAAGAACTGACAAGAATTTTTTTTTTAAATGTACATGTTTAGAATACAGACAGATACAGATTCATTTAAATTCAAATTTGGGAGAATACAGTGACCACCAGCATATACTATTGATAAAAACAAAAAATGTAAATCAGTGTTCGCAACCTGAACAGACCAGTTCCCACAAGCGACACCACAAGAGACACGTGAGTGACACCCAAAGGTAGTCTTAACGAAATTGCTTAATGATAATACCATCTTTTGAGGGGAAGGGTATTGTTAATAATAGGGTCTATTTCCCCATTCCCAGCAATAACCTAACACGGTACATGTTAGACCTCAACGCGGTTCCCCCTGGAAACCATCCTGGTCAATTCCTGGTAATTTCATCACGATGGGCAAACTGACCTGAGCTCACACTCATCTTATCATCCTCCACTGGTGCGCCAGAGTAAACCACCATTTCAATATCATCCATGAAAAATAAAAACGCCTATTTTATCACTTAATGTATATTTACTATTTTAATTATTTTCTGTAAAAAAAAAACGTAATTCAATTGAGTTTCTTGCCAGTTCTTCTCAATTGGATCTATATTCCGAACTGGACGGTAGGGAGAAAAAATAAAATTATTATATAAAACTTGACGTTCATAAGCGACTAAAATGTCCTACATGAATAAATGATTTTTGAATTTGAATTTGAATATGTATTTGGTGCAATGAAGAGTATAAAAAAATATATTCATAGACAATGGCTCTATCACCTCTCGATTTCACATAACTCTTTGTTTTATAAATTGTATCAGAACAAAATCTAAAGATAACAAATATCTTATTTATCTGTATGTATTGTGTATTATTATAATCTATTTGTATGTGTGAAGATGACGTGTTTGTATTGAATGTGTTTCTTTTCATTTAATTTGTATTATGTGCACATTATATAGGAAATAAATATGTGATTGTTTTCAAGTGATATTGAAGTGATAAATCAGTGTAACTTATGGAAATGTTCAACTTAAGAGGTTGGTTTCTTAACTTATTTTCATTAGCTATTCGCCCCGACTTCGCACGGGTGTACATGTAATATACATATAAACCTTCCTCTTAAATCACTCTATCTATTAAAAAAACCGCTTCAAAATCCGTTGCGTAGATTTAAAGATTTAAGCATACATAGGGACGGACAGACAACGACAGCGAATTTGTTTTATACTATTTAATGAAGATACGAATAACCGGATGTATTTTTATATCAAAGCTAATTTATAAAGCAAATTCTGTATAAACATTGTCACTGGAGCGTGATTATTATATTATTATTTAAGAAAACCAAGAAATAATTATATATATATATATATTAGCCTCAAAAGAAACTCACATAGTAAACTCAAAAATTACATAAAAAAGTATCAAAATAATATAAAGATTTAGTAGAAAAATAATAGATATCATCGCATCAACAGATTAAATTACAATAAAAAGAAGAGTATATAAAAAAGAAGAAACAAATTCAATATACATATATATAATTTCATGCATGCATGCATTCTTTATATGTGTACCACAGTAGTACCACAGATAAGATAATTTTAGGTAGAATGCAAAAATGAGTAAACTGCCAGCAACGATTGTTGTTGTAATTCTTTTAAACAAATAGAATTTATTTCAATGATTGTGCAATTTTATTTTTAACAAATACTCATTGTTTATGTAAAGATACTTTCTTATTTATTGTTTAATATATACTTTTATAATACTGTTTTAAATATACTCGTCATTGATCTCTCACCTACTTATACCTCTTCTCTACTCTTCTCTTTCTATCTCTCTTACGTTCTTACCTTCACAATTATTATCCTGGATGAGGTAGTCATTGATAACTGTCGACGTAGCAGTGAATCATGCTTACATTTCGCTATATGTACTGATATTTGAGTATACTTGAACGAGACAGAGCCAACCTATCGCCATATCTTGGATTAATTTGTTTACTACGATCTGTGCATTATCAAAATCAGTAGATTATCGCAGAAGGTTTTTTTTAGGCTTATTCGAATTGATTTCAAATTTATTCGATCTGGGTCTAAGTATAGCTGTAAACACGATCACTGCGAAATGAGCTTAGCATTCCATGGATTCCGTGCGAGAGCCTAGTCCATCGTGTGGCAGAGAGGGAAACTGCGAGCTGTTTCCGTGACTTTTGACCCGTGTATGTTTGAGGAACCCCTTTGCAGACATACGTCACCACTCACTACATCACTCACCTTCACCGCTCGTGTTTCTCTCCCTAACAATCAAATCTGGTAGGAGTCTGCTAGTGTAGCTTTAGATACGTGTACTATAAAATTGTAATTATTATGTAAAAAATAATAATGTTTAAAAATATGTATTATATAGTAATACGAAAAAGTATAATCTGAACGAGATTGTGCATAATCGAAAAACTTTAATACTTTCAGCAAGTCTTAACTTTATCTATGTCTTTAGCAAACAAATGGACGAAGAAACTGATAGTACAGTAAAATCCATAACGTATAAAGTAAATACAATTTATTCGGTTTGTGAAACTGACGTGTTGCAAATGGATTTTTTAATTCACTTACGTTTGTACGAAATGAAGATATTATGTATTTAAGTGGTTTATTGTGATGAATATGTCAAAACGTGAAATAAGAAAGTTAAAAGGTATATTTTTTTTGTTGACTATTTTTGATAGATAAATTCTACCTTCACAAACAGATAGTGTATCTGAGATAAATTTTTTAAATAGAAATAAAGTTTACAAATTAAAAAAGCAGGAATATAAATATTACAAATTAAAAAATGGAGGTGGCTTTATGTGTCGCAATGATAAAGAGGCAACCAACTCAGCATGAACCTACAGATAAGTCTGCAGCGCTGATATTCTGTTGGCTCCTATAAATAAATACATACTTACATACATATATACGTGAATGTTTATGTGTTACACTTCGAGCTCTTAAAGAATTATACAATTACAAAGCATTATACAAATATAAATTGATTAAAAATGATGTAATGTGTTATGCTATACATTTTAGACCGATTCAAGTGTTGTATTACAAATTTATTTTTATTGACCGTTTTCTTTTTATATTATACTAGCTTTTTCCCGCGTTAATTTATCCCCTTAATAAATTTATCAAAATCCTTTCTATGGGGATGTCTACGTCATAGTAGCTTTATGCATACAAAATCTCTGACCGATCGGTTTAAAATTGTCGAAGTTTCATACAAACTTTCATCCCATTATTTTATCCCCTTGGGAGTAGAATTAATCAAAATCCTTTCTTAGCGGATGTCTACGTCATAACATCTACCTGCATGCCAAATTTCAGCCCGATCCGTCCAGTGGTTTGGGCTGTGCGTTGATAGACTACGTCAGTCACTTTTGAGTTATATATATTTAGATAGTAGATAGACTAGCTGACCCGATAAATGAGGTTTTTCCATATAAATTAATTGGTTATCCACCACCGAGAATAGAAAATAAGTACTAATATGGCTATTAAAACTTAGAGGTTGAAATTGAAGGGTGAAAATTTAGGGTTATATATACCTAAAATTTGTGGAATAAATAAAAATATTTTTATTAGCCGTTTCGAAACTTGTTACAAACACTGTTAATACTGATTTTTATATATAAGATATATATATTTATATATACATTTGCAGTTAGACGGCCTCGGTGGTCTAGTAGTTAAGCACACCGCTTTACTTCCGATGGTCGCGGGCTCGATTCCTCGCACGGTGCTAACATTTGTAGTGTTTTCTATATACATATATTATGTATGTACTTACAAAAAAATCTAACTAATATATCAGTTGTCTAGTATCCATAACACAAGCTCTGTTTACCGTGGATCTAGATGGCTCTATATTAATTGTTCAAGATTATTATTTATTTTTATATATACATATAGATATAAATATATATGTATGATAAACATATGGTTGTATGTATATTTTTTTTTGTAAATAGGATTATGTGTTTTTTCTTTTTCCAATATGAAACTGTCATTGTGCCAAAATTTCATACTGCCCGCTCACTATAATTTTCGTAAAAAGAGACACAAACTTTTACATTTGACTACTAAAAAATTCTTATATTAAGTTTATTTGAATAAAGATTATTTCAATTTCTATTTAATGTTACGGGTTTGGCACGTAGCTCTTTTTGTTTTATTTTTTAACTTGTTTCATTTTATTTATCAATCGATGAATCATTAGATTATGTACTAAATATATCATTATCTCTGTGATATACAAATTAATGTCGTAATGCCCCACTGGCCTTGTTATATTTGGTTGATAATTTATTAAGTATGTATATTATATTGGTGTATACATTAATATAAAAATATAAAAAAGAATTACTACAAGTTATTTTAACACATAGTCATTACAAAATATAAAAAAGAATTACAACAATCAGTTTGTATATATAACTATAACACCGAAGAAATTCGAGAATAAATAAAAAATAATAACAATCTAAAATGGACCTAAGTTAAGCTAGCTGAAGCTTGTGTTATAGGTTAGTTACTTATGTAGAACAAATACATAGATACTTATTTTAAATAAATACATACATATTATATGTACATAGAAAACACACAGACCGATACAAACAATCATACTTATGAATACAAATGTTTGTGCCGTACGAGATCTCGAACCCATTGGAAGTAAAGCGGTATGCTAAACCTCTAGACCACGAGGTCACCATCAAAGTATGAAGCCGTAGTTAAAATTATGTTTTGTATGAATCTATTATCTACATCTATAAAATAAAGGAAATAAATAGTTGCCTGAGCAATATGCGATAACATGGCATATTGCTCAGTCATCATATGAAGGGCTGGCTGCGTACACGCACATCATTATGTTTTATTACCGTAATACTGTTTATATCTACATACAAAGATTACTAATTTCCAGCAATGAGATCGGCAGCTTGTACGCTATTGAGTTTGAATAATATTTATTATTGACCAGAATATAAAAAGTTATAAAAAAAAAGCAAAAACATAAACTGCTATACTAGTAATATTTACTCATTTCTATTATAGGCATTATCATAAATGAACCAAAATATAAAAAATAATAATTAATAAAAACATAACCTAAAACAAATAAATATGGCGGGAAAATTTATTCATACAATAGACAAGAGATAAAACCAAAGATTATTCTAGAATAGTTCAAAACCTCTTAATAAAACAATCTCCTTAATCACACAACCACAGAGTAAACAAAGGCGTAGCTAAATAGTGCATTACTACCGAACCATAAAGTTTACATAACAGGACTCAATAAAAAATGATCGTTGTCGCTTCATAAAAAAAGTCCAAAATAGATATTTTACAATATCATGTGATAGATCCATAGACCTTGAGTAGCAACTACTCGCTAAACATAATTGTTCATCTCGCGTCAGTAAGTCGTGGAAGTTTAAAAGGAAAACGCGTTTTTATAAGAAAAACAACATCTAAATAATGGCCCAGTTGTGTGTAAAACGTAGTTTTGTGAATAGTGATATACATTAAAAGTTATATTAATTTTACGACAAAATACGTAAAAAATCGACCTTACTAATCATAACCATAACAATATTTATATATATTAAACAACCACTACAATATCTTCCGAAATTTTCTAAATAGCGGATCGAATCGAAACAGGACACTTTCCTAAAACAAAATCTAAGCAAATATTACCAAAACCAATTATATAAATATACATATTACGTATATAAACAAATACTAATGAACCGCTCCGGCTTCGCATGAGTTCAAATAGTGTCCGTAATTTTTAGAAAATAAAATAAAGGTTATGTTACTCTGTTATAATATACAAGTGAAAGAATTTCAGTCAGCTATTTCTTCATTATAAATTAGAAAATAGAAAAAAATAAATGTTTACGATATTGGTTTAGAGTTATATTTAAATGATTTCACTAAAATCTAAGTTTTATGAAATTTCTATATAATGAGTAACCAAGGAAAGTTATTTTAACATCTAATATGTGGAACATCACATGATCTGATGCCAACGAAAGAAGGCGCTCGGTGGTCTAGCAGGTAGTCTAGCCTTCGTCGTCGTCGACGTCGCGGGTTCGATTCCTCGCACGGTACAAACATTTGTATTCATGAGTATGATTGTTTGTATCGGTCTCGGTATTTCCTATGTATATTATGTATGTATTTACATAAACAAATATATATTCTCTTATATAAAACTAATTTTGTTTATTGAGATTGGAAATCGCGACTTGTCACATCTTTGGGAATGTCATTTTAAACCGGTTAATATTAAATTTGAAAACCGGTTGAAATACAATAATATAATTTATGCAAAGATTTTTCATATTATTACAATACATATAATGTTTTATACCTTTTTTTAATTCAAGGCCTACCTCAAAACGACAGCCCGTTTGAGGCATATTAATCGAGTAGATCCGCGCAATTTCGTATGTGTCACATTTTCCCTGTTTTTACAAAATATTTCATTGCAGCTGTGCTCCTATTAGTCGTAGCGTGATGTCATATAGATTATGATACTAAATAGAATAGAATAGAAAATCATTTATTCAAATAAACTTACATTGAAGTACGTTTGAATAGTCGTTACATTTTCTTTTTATCTGTCAAGCTGAAGAATGAACAAGAAATTTGCGTGTTGCTGTTTTAAATAATTTTGTTGTTAAATTTTTAAGTTGAAGTGTGTGAATACAAACTACCAACTAGCACTAATTCAATTAAATACTCAAATACAGAAGATATTAAATATACAACCAACTGGTTGAGAACTATATAAGAGTGAATAACTTTGAGTCCCTACAAGCATCACTCATTCACGAGTATGACGGATATATTTATAAATATTAAGTTTTTATAATTCTTACACATGTTTGTTAGACTTTTTTTTTAATTACGCAGTTCATTGCGAACAGTTTAAATGGAAAAAAACAATGTGTCAACGGTTGGTTTCTTGTGGCGCATATTAACTAAAAAAATAGTGAAATTTTATCAAGTTCTTCAGCTAAACTAATTTCATGGATTATTTTGCATTACTTCTTAATGCCCAATTTACACTCAGTCCGAATGGACAGGGAAGTGAGCAGCGCGAGAGTGTAAACACGAGTGGAAACACTTCCCATGCCAGTGGCACTGCCACTCGCGCTGACCGGCGCTCCCTCGATTGTCGGCTTTTCGTGCGCGAGTCAAAGGACTGGCAACACGAGTGGCAGCGTGTTTTTACATTCAGCCCTCTCGCTTAGTTGTCGCCCGGCAATATTACCAGCAGCGCGAGTGGCAGGGGAAGCGGCTGAATATAAACGTAGCGTAACAAAAATTAAATGCTAGCAAATATCATAATCTTTCAAATAAGACCACTTCTGTGTATGGGGGCGAAATGAAAACATGAAAAAAAAAAAGTTTCAGTGAACCGTAAAAATACGAGATATTAAATTTAAAAATGGCTGTCATTCAGAGGGGTGAAGGGTGAGACCGCTCTTTGAATTTTGTCGATAAAATATAACGTACGATACGTGGGTCAATCATCGGATATCCGATATGGAACACACTGTATAATAAGGCACAAAAGGTGCATTTTTTTATACTACTTCCCATCTGTAAATAGTTACCGTAGCCTATTGACGCCTGAAACACCAGAAGTGTTACGTGCGCGTTACCGACCCTTAAGAAACCTTAATATACCCTTCTTGAAAACCCCATGCTGTAGTCTCTCGAGAAAACCTCGGCAGGTAGTTCATTCCACAATCTAATAGAATTATAGCATTCTCTACATGTCTACCTTTGGGAAATGATAAGATTCTCTGTGAAGTTTTAGCAATAAATATACATATTATTCAAAGAAAACTAAAAACTATTATACATAATCAACAACGGACAATTATTATGTTATTAATTAAACATCGTGTTTTATGATCAGTTTTGATGTCGAGATATTTTATATCAAGACTCTTTCGTAGAGGTAAGTGCGTATACCCATTATAATAAATAAATAAATAACACTAGACAATTAACACAACGTCATCTAGTCCTGATATAAATACTTTTGAAAAACACCCAGACAGAGACGTACAATCATACTTATGAATACAAATAATTGCACCGTGCGTGTAATCGAACCCGCGACCATCGGAAGTAAAGTGGTGTACCTAACCGTTTTGTTCAAACTTAAACTCTATAAAGAATAAAAATAGTGTTTATTGAAATAAACTTTTGCAGTACTTTTGAATAGTCATATTAGAACGCTGACTCATCGCAAGAAGAACGAGAAACAAACTTGCGTGTTGTTCTTTTAAATAAGTGTTGTTTAGCACATAATTCATAAAAAAACCCAAAAGGGGGAACTATTTGATCATTTTCAAATCAAATCATATGTTTACCTGCCAATCGTAAATACTATGAATTAGTGTTGTAAAAAAGAAATGCTTTGCTTAGATAAGGCAGGGAAATTACAAGAACTTGTTTATTTTTATTTATTTATTCATTAATGCTAACTGCATTAAACAATAAACATATTAATCTATAGACATTTTTCACCTAGAACCATTAGGTTATATACAGAAAGCGTTGTGGGACAGTTGTGGCGAAAAACAGTCACAAAGTCACTAGGATTAATAAAGTAATAAAGAAAGGATATTATATTGACGGCCTCGGTGGTCTAGCGGTTTAGCACACCGCCTTACTACCGATGGTCGCGGGTTCGATTCCTCGCACGGCACAAACATTTGTATTCATGAGTATGATTGTTTGTATCGGTCTGGGTGTTTTCTATGTATAATATGTATGTATTTACGAAAAAAAAAATCGATGTATTTGTATCAGTTGTCTAGTACCCATAACATAAGGTTTAGCTAGCTTTACTTGGGTCTAGATGGCGCTGTGTGAATTGTCCTGAGGTTATTATTATTATATATAAGTTATCTCACCCAACAACTGAAACACAGCTTACATTACACACAAACAAAGGTACACACAAACCACGCTAATAATTGTCCCATTATGCAAACAAAAATAGAAGAATTCGTTAACGACAATAAAGTTTTTATAGAGAAACTTAAAATCCATAGCACTGACAATATTATCTGATTACACTAATAATGACTGCGTAACGATTTCTATGTTGTTTATCGCATGCCTCTTACTTGTTATACTGTAATTATTATATAAAATAAAAACATCTATTCAAAAGAGCAACACATAAGTTTCTTGCTCATTCTTCTTGTGATGAATCTGCGTTCCGAAGGAGTGGTAGAATCAAAATATGACTATTCAAAAGTGCTTGTAATGAGTTTATTTGAATAAAGATTATTTCTATTTCTATTTCTATTACATCTGTTAAATTTATTTTTGGATAATGTCCTATATGTAATATGCTGATGTATCCATAGAAGCCTTGAATTCTATCTATACACATAAATAAAATTGGAGTGTCTGTTTGTAATATTGAAATAACCGTTTTTCACTATATGCATATGAATATAAATACGGTACATGCACCAAAATATTTTTTTTACAATTTTTGTCTGTCTGTCTGTTTGTTCCGGCTAATCTCTGGCTGGACCGATTTTGACGGGACTTTTTTTGGCAGGTAGCTGACGTAATAGGGAGTAACTTAGGCTACTTTTATTTTAGAAAAATAAAGTTAAATTGCACGCGAAGTCGTGGGAACAGCTAGTAATAAATAAAATAAGAATATTTTTGTCGTTATATAGTTAAGTAGTGTATAGTTAATAGTTTTAAAATATAAACGTGTTGGCAATTAGCTGTAAGTTTATCCGATTCGAACAGAATTTAGTCCAAAACAAACGGAAATCGAAATTACGACGGCCTGAGCCGAGGTTTAACTTAAACTCCTAGCGTGCCCTCAGGCTAAAGTCGTATCCGTCAGGCGGGAGTTGGCCTTCAGCCGCTCCATAAGTCCTTCCGCGGGTTTGGAGTGCCATCTGCACTCACCCCCTATCGTCCGGTGAATCTGTAAAGGCCTGCTGCGGCCAACAGCATTAGATTGGTACGAAAAGAAAAAACCTGCAATGTCCCACTACGTTAGTCAATTCGCGATCTAAACGAGCATTAATTAAGGGCTATTTTTGTAAGTAATTTATTATTTATTCTAGATGTAGAACGGGGTCGTGATGATGCTGAGAATCTGAGGCCTCTCTTGTTCACCATACCAGAGAATGGACGGCCGACGACCTCAAGACCTACCAATTTACCCATTTTCAATTTAGGGTACGTACCATTTAACTTAACCGTTATCATATTGTAAACGTCTACTTTTAAAAATAACGATACTTCCATACAACCTTTCATCCCCCTTCAACCCCTTACAACCCTTTTTTCGCAAAAGTAGTCTATGACCTTTCTCAGGGTCTAGACTACTGTACTAAATTTCATTTAAATCGGTTCAGTAGTTTTAGCGTGAAGGCTCGACATACAGACAAACACAGTTACTTTTGCATTTATAATATTAGAAATGACTTCTACGTCAATCACGTTTTTTTTAAAGACGTATTACATAGTACAGTAAGGCCCCGAATAGAGCCTGGAGGTCTGAAGAACAGGTCTCGACCTAGTCAGACTCCAGATTCTCAAAAGGTTTAACTTGTAAGTTTAAATATAATTTATTTCCATTGTAAGATTCCTTGTAAGCAGTTAAGTTAAAGATTATAGTTATTATAATATTAGTAAGGCTGGGAACCCTGCAATCCAGTTACATAAAAAAGTACCTAGTCCATTCTCCATTAAAAAAAATCAATCTCTGTTAATTTGTTTTTTTTTTGTAAGGAACGTTTTGTTAAATAAAACTTCTGGCCTCTTCTCATGAAGCGTTTATTGCAATAACTTAAACATTTTTAAATTACATAGGGTGGTATCCACCCTTTTTATTGGTGCTCATATGTGTCGCGTGGTGAGCGGTGCTTCTCACTGGTCGATTGTGTGATGCCGCCAACAACGCAACTTTTGACGTCAACCAGTGGTGGTTGAGGATGGCCTATGGTATTGAGCATTAGACTGCTCACAGCAGATTTGCTACTTCAAATTCAAATTCAAAATATCTTTATTCATGTATGTCTATTACAGACTCTTATGATATGTCAAATCTACCGTCAGTTCGGAATGATTTTTTCAAATAATAGTGGAACATGTTTATAATAATATACAGTCATTAAAATTCAAATTTGGGAGAATAGAGTAACTACTACTACTGTTTTAACAATCTCAATACATCAGGTCGTTTCACAACCCCCATCCGTCGATGGTCACCATGTCTGACTGGACTCCATCGGAGCCATCGACTGTCAATAACACACCAGTTACGGAAGGCATTGAGAACATGCCAAGGAAATGGAGAAGAAGCGACCGCCGCCAGAGAAGACTCAATACGGAATTATTGGAGGCTATTGAGAATCATGATGTGGAAGAAGTTGAAAGGTTAGTCCATTTTTATAAACATTTTTTAAAACTATATAACAAAAAAAATATGTTAGAATTTCAACTATTGGATGGCAACCGTATATTGGATGGCGTTGGAATTCTAACATATTTTTATTGTTAATTAAAATTTATTGTTTGTCTGCCACAAGATGGACGACCCGCATTTCAAAATGGCTTCTTCTGCAGACATACTGATTAATTGTTGTGATCTTCATTATAAATTAGTTTATGTTATTGTTTTTACTATTTATGTCTGCAGTTTACTTCTATTATAATAAAATACCACACATACACCAAACTGAATATAAATACAGCTCCCAGTAACATACCTAACAAAAATAATTTGCTAGATTGCTCAACGCCGGCGCCAGTCCAAACGCCACGTGTCGTTTGGACATGGTCTCAGCATGCCATTACGCCGCTATTGTTGGTGGGGACTCCCTGTCCCTGATCACAAAATTTGGAGCTGAGAAATTACGTCAAGACAACTTGGGTCGAACGCCACTACATTTGGCGGCGTGGGCCGGGAATGCGAGACAAATGGCCGTACTTCTGGATTTTCCTGAAGGTAAGCATTGGATTTTGTTATGTACAGATCAATATTTGTTTGATTGTTCCTGTTTTGTTCAACTTCACGACTAGAAGTACAAATGAGGTAGTCAGAAGCATTGTCAATTGTCACTATAGAGATCACAATACTGTTACCACATTTCACATAACTTGCCATGCCTACATTTCACTCTGTATATTCGAATCCAACAGAAATAGAAATATTCTTTATTCAAGTATTTTTTTTCTACCGCACATTCGGAACGCAGATTCATCATAAGAAGAATGAGCAAGACACTTGTGTGTTGCTCTTTTGAATAGATGTTTTAAACGTAGCAGAGAGTGAACCTATTCCCGTCTCTCAGATTAATTTTAAGTTATGTCATTAACATTTCCGTAGCCGGAATCCGAGACAAAAATAAAATCTGACACACAAAGGTATTTTATGTGTCTACCAGATTTGAACTCTTATGTGTAATTAAGGGTAGTAAATCACTAGGGCACTAAAATGTCTTGTTGCAGAAATGTTATTACCTATCTTTACATGACCCGTTCTTTCACGCATTCAGAACCGCGCGTTGATTAGTGCGGGAAAATCAGCCCGCACTTTTGGGTTCACTCTTTCACGCGTGATTGCACTTTCATGTCATTCACTTTCTTTTAAAATTTTATTAGATATCCCACCACATACTTTACCTGAAGACATGTTTAAGATTAATAAATTATCAATAACTCTATTATTAATTATTATGTCTTTGATCCATAATGAAATGTCCGCCATTTTGCAATGTTAATTAATAAATTTAAAAGTGTGCTAAAGCACACACATTGTAGAACGCGAGAATGTGCGAACTGGCTACGCGCGCGGATCTTCATCTACATAAATACTCTCTAATACTAAATAATACTCTCTACTATCATCTATTTAAATACTCATTCTTTCTTGTGCGCGTGAAAGAACGGATGTGCAAAGGCAGCGTTAGGAAAGAATATGTCTTATTCTTTCCTAATGGCTGGCGCTAAAGCATACACAATTTTAAAACGTGCGAACTAACTCTGCTTATGATCTTTCTCTTTATGTACCTATACATTTACATGCTCAATCTTTCCTGGGGGCATGAAATAATGGATATGTAAAGGCAACCATTAGGAAAGAATAAGACACCAAGTTTATCCAAAAATTAACTTTTAATCGTACATTAATATAATTTCACGAGCGTCTCATGACAGCGATGAGATGAAACTCGTGGTCCGGTGCCACAACAGCCTCCGTCTTCCTGGAGATCAGTCTTAGCACGACCAGTTCATCAGTCACGTCCTAAAACAATGGTGCATCAGAAAACTAGTACTCATAAAAACTTTGACAGCCTCGGTGGTCTAGTGGTTTAGCACACCGCTTTACTATCCGATGGTCGTGGGTTCGATTCCTCGCACTGTACAAACATTTGTATTCATGAGTATGATTGTTTGTATCGGTCTGGGTGTTTTCTATGTATAATATGTATTTATTTACAAAAAAAAATGTATCCATGTATTTATATCAGTTGTCTAGTACCCACTTGTTTACATTTTTTTTATAAATACATTTTTTTGTATAAAATAATAAAAAAATATACAAGTATTTACATCAGTTGTCTACTACAACAAAAAATATCCAGACTAATGCAAACAATAAAACTCAATAACATAAATGTTTGTACCGTGCGAGGAATCGAACTCACGACTATAGGAAATAAAGCGGTGTCCTAAACCGCTAGACTATCTATGCTGTCCGTAATATCCAAATACAAACCAATTTTACAGTTATTATTGTTACAACTTACAATTTCCTTGAGAGCATTACTGGCATGATGCGAAAGATTCCGCATATGCGTGGAGTACGTCGCAGCTGTCAAACTGTCCAGGGTTGTTGTCTCAGGGAACCCTAAAAAAATCAGTACAGCATCCTGATCCTGATCGCCGCAGCTGGTCTGGCTGAAGGCCAACTCCAGCATCACGGACACGACTTTAGTCTGAGGGCACCGCTAGCCGCTCCATAAGTCCTACCGCGGGTTTGGAGTGCCATCTGCACTCGCCCCCTATCGTCCGGTGAAGCTGTGAAGGCCAGCTGCGGCCAAGCTTAGAGTAGTCCGAAAAAAAAACGTATGCACGCAAATATTTGTATAGTTTATAAATATAGTATATAAATAGTTTCTTGGTTTTTTCTGTGCTATAAAACGTAATAATTATATAAATCTTATATCCTCTCGGATGACTCTGTCTATTGCTGGAAACTGCATTAAAATATGTTGAGTAATTTAAAAGATATAGGCGAACAGACGACGGAGGCGACTTTTTTTTATACTATGTAAAAGTGCAATCTTCTATACATATAGGTAAATAAAATTGGATTGTCTGTTTATAATATTGAAATAACCGTGTCTCACTACATGTATACGAATATAAATACGGTACATATACACCAAAATAACATTTTTTACCATTTTTGTCTGTCTCTCTGTTTGGTCCGGCTAATCTCTGAAATGCCTGGGCTTACTTTGACGGAACTTTTGGCAGGTAGCTGATGTAATAAGGAGTAACTAAGGCTACTTTTACTTTAGAAAAATAAAGTTAAATTCTACGCGGACGAAGTAGCGGGTATAGCTAGTAAAAAAAATAATAATAATACCTTCACAGTTGACAATGATGGTGCCAACGACGTTACCATTCTCGTTGATGCGGACCATAGTGTTTGTGGCACCAGCACCCTGACACATAATATTTATTAAAACAATTTTAATATTATTTACAAATTGCGTAAGGTTTTCAAACAAACTACCACAGTCTGTTATAAATCTGGCTGATAAAAGATTCAAATGTCGTATAAAAGTCTTCCTTTATAAAAAAGCATATTATAAAATTGAAGAGTTTGTAAACGATAATAATGTTTTTGTAGAAAAACTTAAAATTCATAGCGCTGACAATTTTATCTGATTACATTAAGAATCAGCGCGTAACGGTTTCTATGTTGATTTATCGCATGCCTCTATTCAAAAGAGCAACACACAAGTTTCTTGCTCGTTCCACTTGTGATGAATATGCGTTTCGAATGAGTGGTAGAATAAAAAATATGACTATTCAAAAGTGATTCTATTGAATTTCTTTGAATAAAGATTGTTTCTATTTATATAATTTGCTGATGAAGTGTGTCAGGAACAGAGTCTAAGACACAGAATAACGTCAGACCATAGAAAAAATTCATTGGATGTTGGTGCCATAATGGTATACTGCCAATTTGTACACTGGTGAGGTAATGGAGTAATTAGTTTTAGGGTACAATGGGACTGGCTGACTGGACTGTACAAATATCCATAAATTTTAATAGAAATTAAATAATAATATTATCTTCTTTACAGTCTTTATATGTATACAATTAAAATTCCAATTAAATTTCTATTATATTGAATATATATATAATTGAATTTTTAAATTAACAGCTTTTAACTAAAACTATATGTGAAATATATACGGTCCTTACATAAATAAATAATCTTGGACAGTTAACAGAGCGCCATCTAGTCTCACGTTTAGCAGGGGTTGTGTATGTGGTACTAGATAACGGATATAAATACTTTATATTATTGCAATTTTACGCAAATGTAGAAATGTGCGAGGAATCGAAGCAACAACCATCGGAAGTAAAGCGGTGTGCGAAACCGCTAGACTACCGAGACCGTCATTATTCTAGTATCATAATAAAAAGGAATTGAAAGTAAGAAATATATTTAAATTAGTACATTTGTTATCTACTAATTTAAATATTTTTTGATAAATTCGTGTAGATATTGTTAATGATGATGATTAATGAATACGACTGATACAAATGCAGAAATCATAAATATCTTTTTATAAATACCATAAAATTCTGCGCTATTTCCATGTTTTAGCACAACTTCGAATATTTGCAATGAAAAAGAAAATCACGTTTCCTGTTTGCAACAGATTTACTGACATTATAATATATTGACATATATTATTAATTACTTTCTTTGACAAATTCTATCAGTTTTAATTTCTTCTAAATTTCTGTTTACGATTTGTCTTTTAGTTTAGTTTATATGCGGAAACTGAACGTAAACGTAATTGTGTAAAAGTAAATATTTTCTTAAAGAATATATTTATTTATGTTTTAATTCGTATATTCATAATCCATATTATGTTATATATATATATTATTTGTAAAAACATGCATAGAAAACACTTAGACAGATACAAATATACAACAATCATATTCATGAATACAAATGTTAGTGCCGTGCGAGGAATCGAACCTGCTACCAGTGGCACTCAATGAGGAAGTAGCCATTATTATTGCTAAAAGTTGCATATAGATGGCGTGATTGGTATCGATGGAATTCTTCATAGTTTTGCAAACGTTTTAAAAAACAAAACTGTGTTTTCAAAAATGTTTAATCAATTTTTAAAAAGTTATATATACATGTTAAAATGAAATAATGCGTTTAGAAAAGTAATTTTCATATATTTACTCATTTTGTTATTTTCCAGTACTTAATTACACTTTAATCAGTGCTAATATGGGGCTCAATGTTTTCAAAATGCTTTCATAGATGGCATTGTCGTCATTTGTATCGGCCTAATTAAATGTCTTTTTTATATTTTCCAATAATAAGCACTTAATATATTATTATTGTAAATTAAACATATAAAAATTTTTTAAGTAAATTAAAAATAGCCGAACAAGCAAGTAATAATATTTCCAATAATACTTATGTATGAAGTGTTGTCATATTATAAATAAATACATGTATTATCGATTTTTTTTAATAATCGATAACAGGATTTTATTACGCATTATTCGATGATGCTTTTAATGAGTCGTTGTGAACAGTAAATTTTCATTATTTTGTATTATAGCAGTGTTCCGTTTCAAAGAACGGAATATAGTAGTACATTATTAGTGTCGTTGGTTATTTGCATTTGTACTGAAAAATCGATTACATAATAATTTAAAATATCGAGTACGAATCGTAGCTGTCTTCGAATACTGGCAACTGGTAAGATTAAATTAGTATTTAAAAAAAAGAAAGAAATCGATCCTAATTCGAATACCATAAAGTTGATTTTCCTTTCTCATTAATATCATAGCAGTTTGTTTTTAACTTGCGTATGACTCTGTGGTATGATGTTTAACGTGTATTGTTATTGTACGGTGCATATATTTCAAAAATTATATTTTAATGTAGGTACATACATTACTTTCATACATTTCAAAAATTATATTTTAATGTAGGTACATACATTTCTTTCATACATTTCATACATGTCAAAAATTATCTTTTAATGTAGGTACATACATTTCTTTCATACATTTCATACATGTCAAAAATTATCTTTTAATGTAGGTACATACATTTCTTTCATACATTTCATACATTTCAAAAATGAACTTTTTATGTAGGTACTTACATTTTTTTCATACATCTCATACATTTCAAAAATTATATTTTAATGTAGGTACATACATTTCATAAATGTCAAAAATTATCTTCTAATGTAGGTACATACATACATTTCTTTCATACATTTCATACATTTCAAAAGTTATATTTTAATGTAGGTACATACATTTCTTTCATACATTTCATACATGTCAAAAATTATCTTTTAATGTAGGTACATAACACCCCATGTCAGACCCCTTGTATTTGGAAGAAACTTAAAAATAATGCCAAAAATATTAGATGAATATATTTTTAATACGAATATTGTTTTATTTTTGTTCATCAACTTTATCCCTCACTAACAATACTAGTAGTAGTACATAACCTGGTTTATACCGCTAAAGATATTGAAAGATATACGAGTAATTCAGAATGTTTGGCGTGAAAGCGAGACAAATAGACAGACTGAGTTACTTTAGCATTTATAATATTTTTAAGAATATCGCTATTAAAAATAGGGGTTGGTGAAAGACGGGTGAAAATTTAGGCGTGTATGTATTTTCAATGTAACATTATAAATAAAAAAAAAATTGTCCATAATACAAAAAAATATTTTTTCGGGGTAGGCCACCCCTATGACTTAGGGGTATAAAAAATAGATAACAACCCTACCTCAGACCTGGCAAGTATACATATCAATTTTCATCATGGGAGAAATATGGCAACTAACACTGTGATACAAAATTTATATATTGTAATACACTACCTCTAAGTAGATATATATATATAGCGGCGCACCCGCCGGTAGCCTCGCGCTGTTGGCTCGTTGCTAAGCAACGGATACCCCGGTAGCGGTTGGGTAACGGGAGGCCGGCGGCAGTTGGTCGTTGAATACCGCACGCAGCGCAATAGTCTTCCAACTTATTTTAATTATTTTTATGACGATCCAACAATATAAGATATAGCGGAATTCTCATTAGGTAAAAGAGGGGTACATCGTAGAATACATGAGGTATATACCAGTAAATTAATTGTAGCTAAAATCAGTCTCATACATATAACGATTGAAATAAAAAAACGTATAGCCCGATTTTGATACGTACGAGTATAAACGTATCAAAATCAGGCTATACGTATAGCGCAGACGCGTTACAACATATCAAAAAAATAGGCATGGAATGTAAAATAAACCATAACATAATAGGTATATACATTGGCACATAAGCCATATCTGCAGAGTGTCGGCTAACGATATTATACCTACACATTTACATTGAATCTTGAATCGTCCCTAATGAGGTACACGATACAGTAACCTACATATCTATTATATACATATCTTTGCAAAACAGATGTCATGTAGCTGAATTGACTGCCATCTATTTTCATGCTTTGTTACTAAGCACCCACTAGTAATCCGAACTGCTTCAGATCTAGCGACATCTAGCGGCTACGGTGGCGAAATAAAATAGCCCGAAGAATAGCCCGAGTTAGGAAGGAACCATTTTCTTGTATGGGATGGGGTATCTGTATGTAATATTATGTTATCTGTGCTGCTACCATCGGATGTAACTCGTTGTGCTAATCCCAGGCCATCTTATTATTTCCAGATATGCACGATAGCTTAGTCGACTTGGAAATGTTATCAAAAGTAGAGGACGATGTTAAGAAACTTTGCGAGAAGACCAAAGCTTTGGCGAATGTTCGGTGCGGCATCGGGGAAGAACAGCCCGTACTTGCAAACCAATGGAAGGACAACATCGACCACAATTGCAAAGGCATAAAGGGCAGCGTATGTACATTTATTCATTTTACGGTTATGTACATTTATTATTTTATTATATTTTTTAAGCTAGTCATATTTGATTTTAATATTATTGATATATCTAATTCCTCTCAAATATCTCTACTGGGACGAAGATCATGAGTGATGTTTGTTTTGAATATAGCAAACTAATTTCATTTCGTGGATTGTCAACTTGTTTCCGATTCAAATTATATAAAAAGGTATTAAACGTTTCCCAAATTATGCATATTCTATACGTTAATGCTATCGATTATAAGTTGCTTTAATAAAATCACATTAATGCACGAACATAAGGTCAACCTATTGTCTTAGGCCACACACGCTGATCAATGAACTCATAATATTAGTCTGCCTTTACACTTTTAATTTTTTTACTAGTAAGTTGACGGCTGTCTGTCTGAAATTAGCCTATCATCTGGGCCCTTGTGCGTGTAGAGCCAAGACTACTAAAGTAGCTGAGAAGCGCAAACGCCTCATGGTGTCTTCACTGGCTTCACGGAGAACTAAATTTATTTGTTTTATAGTACAATGGGACTGGTATGTATTTATAGTTCGTAGAAATGTCCCTAAATTTCAAAGAAATAAAAAAACTCTATCTTGCAATCATACTTTATTATGATGTTCCAGCTCATGAGTATCCAAAAATCCGCTGCCTAAAACTTATTCCTAGCACGATAGTATATATAATCAAATAACTTCCAGAGAATCCTGATATCATCTGCACCTTTACTTTAAAACTTATTGCAAGTGCGATAATGTAAATAATCGAATATATTGCAGCTTCCTTTAATACAACCTGGATGGACACCGTTACACGTTGCGTCATCGTGTGCCCGCCGTCATTGTACCCGTCTACTGCTGGCAGCAGGGGCTGATCCCAACATCTGCGATGAACAGGGCCGTACAGCTCTCGACGTTGCTGGCTCGGCTTATTACTACGATCAAGAAGTCGACCCTTCATAGTTGGTACCTTTTTATTTATTAATTGGAATGGCACTGATGAAAATTCCATATGATTTTAATTCTAACGGGGAATTCTCCCCTATTCCATCCGAGGATCGCAATTACGATGCCTTAATTCGAGGTTCAAACATCTACCAGTACCCTTAGACTGAAGTCGTATCTGTCAGACAGGAATTGGCTTTCAGCCACTCCATAAGTTCTTCCACAGGTTTGGAATCCAATCTGCAATGACTCCCATTTTCGTCCGGTAAAGCTATTACAGCCTTAACGGTCGAAAATGGCCTCTCTCCACCAATAGCATTAGAATCGTTAAATAAATACTTGATGCGAAGTGGCATCTGTCTGCCTGTTGCAGTCTGAACATGAACAGCGTAACAAATATAATCATCATTAAACTCCTTTATTTATTTCTGCTAATATGTTTTCCGTGTTTCGAGTTGAAGGTTGCAGGCTTACTCGTCAGGGTAGCAATTTATGATTAAAACTATCAGCGTTACCAGATCATTCATGTTATACCAATAGTTGCTTCATTCCATCATATAGTCTATCAGCTTCTTAACCATTCTAGTTTCATAAAGAATCAATCGAAGTGAGATTGTTCTTAATTTAAAAGAAAATTTAAAAGCGTCTATTCTTTCCAGTTTCGTTGAAGTAATAAAAACACTCATCAAAGCTAATGGTACATTCAATACAATGAAGACCAGAGGTCTACAGAATATTGATACTCCACTACATACAGCTGTATATCTTGAATGTCTGGATGGCGTGAATGAACTGCTAAGGGCTGGTGCGTCTATAGCAATTTTGAACAGTGCTGGAAAAACACCGTTGCATGCCTGTGTAGAGAAACAGTATGAGGAAATATTACAGGTATGTGACAAGTATTTTAGAGTCAACAGAAAATAATAGAATTAAAATTTATGACATAGGTGAAGAAGTAATATTCCGTTCTACTTATCGTTAATGGATAATTTAAGAGATTGTTCTCAAAACTAAAACTAGAATATACACAGATCAGAAAATTGATAATTTATGATAAAATCTATCTTACATTAATACCAGAAAATGTCTTACTTTTAATTTTAAGTTGTATAAAAGAATATTTTAACACAATTCCGATTTAATTCAAGTATAAAACGTATTGCAGATTTATTTCTTTTACAACTTTCACATGTGTATTTGATAATTTGATTTTAGGTTTTAGCCAACTACGGTAACAACGATGCAGATCCCTTATCGGCTATAGTCGACGTAAAGGACAAAGAAGGACATACAGTGCTCCAGGCGGCTGTTGAAGCGGCCTGGGTGCCTGGAGTATGTGTCGCTTTGGAGGCTGGAGCAGATGTAACGTTGAAGGTATGATAAAAAAGAAACTCTCTAGAAAACATGCATAAATCGAGATTTGCCCGTGGTTCAGGCTCTTTGTGTTCATATCAATTTAAAAAACAGTAGAATTTTGTATGAAAAATCTTTCGTTTTTAAGTCTGAAGGGTTCAAATAATATCTCTCTAATGCATTATTAATATACAAATTGATTTCAAGAGTTCGTATGTATGTAAGTCAATAGCAAATGTACAATTACATAATAAACAAGTAAGTGTCAAACGGTAAGCAATCCTGTTAATTTCAGGCTAATGATGGAGAAACGCCAATTCATTCAGCAGCAGCACTGGGCAATTTGGATGTTCTTAATGAAATTCTTAGTGTTGCTAAGCAAAAGGATTCAATCGATTATCAAAATGATGAAGGAGAAACAGCGCTTTTTAAAGCTATTACACATAGACATGTCGATTGTGTTACATCTATATTAAATGAAGGTGCATCTATGAAAATAACTTTACGAGGAGACGCAAATGTACTACATATAGCTGCAGAGACTGGAAGTTATGAAGTGTTAAAAGTATTACTTGAATACGATGAAGATATAACCAAAGCATTGATAAATGAATTGACCGATGGAGGTCGACGAGGTTTTGGCCCAATACACTTTGCAGTAACAGAAAATCATGTGGATTGTGTTAAACTTTTGCTTTCAAAGCAAGCTGACATACGATTAAGAACCCGATGCAGTCCTCATAAATCCTCAACTCCTTTGCACATAGCTGCTGTCAAAAATTTAGTAGAAGTAGCAAGAGCAATTTTAGAATTCGATAAGACAACTATACACGAAGTAAATAGTATGGGCTGGTTTCCATTACATTCCGCAAGTCATCATGGTAGTAGAGATGTAATTAGCCTTCTTTTAAGCGAAGGCGCTGATCTTTCAGGCTACACTGACGGCCCGAAGAAATTTAAAAGAACTGCAATAGACATGATTGTTAACAATCTATCTAAACCTGCAAATTATTTGGAAAATGTTTTTGATTCGTACATATCTACGAATAATTTAAATCTCCAAGATGCAAACTGTAAGATTACTGTCGACTACAAAATACTGATGCCTACAATATGTGAAATGGAGCAAATGAAAGTTATAGAGGCTTTATTGAAAACGGGAAATAGATATAATCAGAAAAGGTTGCTGGTTCATCCATTAATTGAAAGCTTTTTGTATTTGAAGTGGAAGGCACTATTGCCATTTTTCTACACTATAATAGCAGTTTATGCCTTTTTTGTTATGTCTTTAACAACTTTTATAATATCATTATTCTTCTACAAAGACACAGAGGCTAAGGCTCCTGTTTGGCTGAGTCCGCATATATGGTTTTACGCAGTTTATGCAACGATATTTCTGATTCTGTTACAAGTGAGTTTAATTTTATATATAATTAAACCATACGTATTTAATTTAGTCATATTTTATTCTCTTCAAAACCAAATTTTCATTCTTAACCTAATACCATGTTGATTATTACAATATAATTTAACACTTTGTTACATATAATGTTTGCAAAATTATATTTTATGAATAATTCAATTATGAGCCGTAATATAGTAGAACGTAAAGAAATAATCTTCGTTTAAATAAATTTAATGTAAGCACTTTTCAATAATCATAATTTTTAATGTACCACTCATGATAATTTTAATTTTTAAACAATGAAGGACTAAATAATAAAAATATATAATATTAATTATCATATTTAATTTTCAGGAGATACTGTATATGAACGTAAAATCTAGTAGATATTTTCTACATCTAGAAACGTGGGTAAAATTTGGATCAATTGGTCTGGCAGCTATACTACCTCCTGCTGTAATGGTGGCATCTTGGTCAGAAGCAGAATGGCCTAGACATGTAGCAACCTTAGCATTGCTTCTGTCTTGGTTAGAACTTATGTTCCTGCTATCAAGATTTCCAAATTGGGGATATTATGTTTTGATGTTTGGCAAAGTAGCCTCCAATGTAATAAAGGTAAGTAAATTTTGACTACTATGATCTCTTTGTACTGTGCTGATAGGAACTGTATCTATTGCTCTTTCTTTTTCATGCAGTCAGGATTTTATATTCGTAAGTATCATGCCCGAATGGTGTTAAATTTTGCTATTATTATTAAATAGAATTTCCACGGTTTTTAAACATCTACAAGTTAAAAAATTTTGCTAATCTCTATTACACTATGTTTCGACCACCGTGACAGTACTTATACAATACTTTTAACTATAATTTCACTGCATTTAATGAGAATTTAAAAATCAAAGTCGATATAAAGACATAATTAACCGTCTTATTAACCTTTCACAGATTCTTTGTACATTTGGGTTCCTCGTCATCGGATTCTCCTTAAGTTTCATGATACAGTTTCATTCTCAAATGCCATTCGAAGGTCCATTGGCTGCACTCGTCAAAACCATGGTTATGATGACATCTGAATTCGATTACGTGGCATTATTCGATGAAGAGCATACCGACCAACTTGAAACATCCTTAATAATAGTCAGACTTATATTCGTTGTGTTCTTAATATTAGCTGCAATCGTTCTAATGAATTTGATGGTTGGTGTCGCTGTAAATGATATTAATGATCTAGAGGTACTCGGTAATATAAGGAGATTAGAAAAACAAGTAGAATTTTTAAGTACCTTAGACACGTTAGTATATAATAAAGTATTCGAGAAACTTCTACCGCACAGAATTAATTCTCACATAAAAAATAAACGAAACGTAAGAGGAACAATTACTATGAATCCAGGCAAGCCAAAATGGAAACATGAAAAAGATTTACCGTCCAGAATAAGGAATGCCATCTTTGAAAAGGCACAGAATCAGAAGAAACAAATGGATGATGAACAGGGCTTCCAAGAGTTTAAGGAAAAAATCGATGTAGTATTTAACTTTGTGGTAAAACAAACGAATAAACAATTAGAAAATGAAGCAGCCAAAGAACGGGACGTACCGGGTAAAGGTACATTGCAAGAAGAAATAAAGAAACAATTAAATGATTTAGATGAAGATATGTCTGATATGAAAGAGCAAATTACAGCGTACGCCGACAGTTCTAAATCACCAGTAGAAAAGTTGAACGTAAAAATGGATCAAATATCATTAGAAATTGAGGAGATCAAACAATTTTTAAGTAGATTGGAAAGTAAGTTAGGTAAATTATAATTTATTAAAGTTTTATTGTAGTAGTAATAATTTATAGCAAAGAAGTCCTTTTATATATTGTATGACAAATGAGATTAAACCTAAATAATTGAAATATTTTTACCTCATTTCATTTCTAATTAATGTATCAATGTAGACTCGATATGGATAGATAAAGATATAAGATAAAGGTAGTTAAAGACCAGGGATGAACAGTACGAGAATCTTCCAACAGATTTTTGGCCTTTAGGTACAGTTTTATCCTCGTACGTGGTATGTACGAGGTTTTGACCTAAGGAAATCGGTCAAAATATGCTGATGTTCGATGTTAGAAGGACAAATTGAGGAAATTTATGCTTCTTCGTATTAGGCTTAATGAATTTTTTTGGAGTAAATATGGAAACAATGAAACACCCGCATGCGCTAACGGTATACACTAGGGTATCTGGAAAATGATAGGATAAGTTTGAAATCAGGTCAGTAAGCCAACGTAGCAAATATCTGGGGACATGGAGACCGTATAGAGATTCCCATTAGTAGGAATCCTATCCCTTACCCCTCTAGATGTTAAAGCAAATAAACACATTCCGAACAAACCACCCTTTATATTTCAACTGAATCAGTTAACAGAAAACTGTCATTAACCGCACCGCGATAACATAAAAGTGTACTTATTAAAAAGGGGAAAGTTATTATGCGAAACAAAAAGTAAGTTTGGGGCAAATAAGGATGGAACTTTGTTAATAAAGTCGACCGCAAACAGGAAAAGCCGCGTGGAAACGTAATACTTTACTGGAGTGAATAAGTGTAAGTTATATTTTAGGCTCTCGCTGATATATTAAAAAAGATTTCATATTTACACTAAGTACACAAACATAAGTCTGAACGTAACTCAGCGCCTAGTACTAATTTAATTTGACTACAAATGACATTGTAATTATATTGTGGAATGAAGTACCCGCCGTGGTTTTTTCACGAAACTACAGCATGGCGTTTTTCAAGAAGGATATATTAAGTTTTCTTAAGGGTCGGCAACGCGCACGTGATACTCCTGGTGTTTCAAACGTTCATAGGCCACGGTAACGATTTACCATCAGATAGACCGTCTACTTGTTAGCCACCTACGTAATATAAAAAAAATGTAATAACGTCATAATATCGTCATCCAAGTAGGTACTTAATATTTAAAATCTATCATCAGTTATTAATTTGCTTGGAGCCGAGAAGAACTGACAATAAACTTGGTGCCAGTAAAAGAAAGGTTACCTATTCAAATAAGTTACGTGATTACCATATTTGCAAGATTATAGACAGAAGTAAGATAGTAAGAAGCGTGTTTTGTATGAATTTAAACAAAGACCCATTTTGCATAAAGTTATCTGCATAGCTGGCTTTAGTTTTGACTCTAATTTCTACTACATACCTATGATTATCATATACCCACACTGTGCCTATATTCCTATGTTATTATTAAAAAAATATAATATTATTAAAAAAAAATTACCAATGCGGACTTTTACAGGGCCTTATGAATAAATATATCCGGCCTCACCTATTTCTGCCTTCAAGCAGAATATTTTGTAAACTATATGAAGTGAACATAGCGTTGTATTATTAATTAAACCTAGATTTTTTATTATTAGGCTCTAATATACTAAATTTCTTATTCAACTTTTTGACAGATATAATATAAATAAAATCTTCTATTATTAAATGGCTTCTCAACATTGTATTCCAGTTCAAAAGTGATATAAGGAGACAGACTACAAATAATTAAATAGTAGCTACTTTGAATTTGCAATTTCTACCGCTTTCTATCGGACCTTCAACTTATTTCAAAACATTAAAAATACAGGAAATACTGACAATGACAGTATATTTTGGCAATCCGTTGACTATTTTAAAACGATACGACAGACTCAGGAAACGACACCTTTCGGCTTTATTTTTAGCATGGCACCTCAAAGCGCAAACGTTTGAATTATTAAACAGTTTCTGCTCATAACTCAGTCAGCGCATCAAAGTTTCACACGGATTCAATGAAGGCTGCGCTTTGAAAACTACGCCCCAAGTCGGTGGCAATTTATATGTACCAATAAATAAGGTTACCATAGCAACAGTATTAGAAGTAGGACATGTGAGAGTTCCCGCCTAAAAACTTAAACTACTCTGTGTAATATCGGCTTTTTTAAATTAAGGAGTACCGAGTTACGTCCGGACATTTGTTTATGGAAATTTATTTTTTAAATAAAGAAGGCAACTCTATTAAGTATCCAGGCCAGATTACAAATATATCATTTTTATTTTTAAAGATGACAAAATTTGTTGAACAGTTACTTTATACCGATTACAATTACATTTTAAAACGAGACTGTCCGTAATTATGTTACACGATTATTTTGCCAATTTTAAATCAGTCCTTTCTTTTCGTTCTATTCCTTTTTTGATCCTATCGATTACGTCGCCTAAGTGTTTTAATACATTTTTATTATTGTTTAAGTCATTTTTTCATATAATTCTGACCCTCATCACTAAATCTATTTTAGATCACTCTCACTTCATGTCAGCTTCAGGTGCGAAAACTAAAAAAGCCGGAAAAATATTTCTTTTTTTGACTTTTCTTTTCATCATCAAGCACTATTTACAAGACAATGTTGAAATTTCTAATATTATAAGAATTATATATTCTCTGGACTGAAGATCGTGACCAACCCAACAGTGGACTGCAGTAGGCTGTGAATAGAATAGAAAATCCTTTATTCAAATAAACTCAATTTTAGCACTTTTGAACAGTCATAACAATTTTTTTAATCTAATAACGATGATAATAAATTTACTAGTTCTAATTATTAATTCAATAACATGTAAGTGTATATAGTTTAAATAGCTGTTCCCGTGACTTCGTTCGCGTGGAAATTAACTTTATTTTAAAAGTTACTCCTTATTACATCAGCTACCTGCCAATAAAAGTCAGGTCAAAATCGGTCCAGTTATTTCAGAGATTAACCGGAACAAACAGACAGACAGTCAGACAGACAAAAATGGTAAAAAAAATATTTTGGTGTATGTACCGTATTTATATTCATATGCATCTACTAAAAATCGGCTATTTCAATATTACAAACAGACACTCCAATTTTATTTATATATATATATATATAGTGTTTATGTCTTTTCTTTGGTGTATGTTACAAATAAAGTATATTCTATATATATATATAAAAATTACGTGTCACGTTGTTTCTCCGCGATAGACTCCTAAACTATTGAACAGATTGCAAATTTGATTTGCACATTGTGTGTAATTTGATCCAACTTGAAAGATAGGATAGCTTACATCTCAATTTATAGTCGCAATATTATTTTATTCAAGAACCTTAGCCACAGCAACGCGAGGCCGGGTCTGTTAGTCCAGCTATTAATTCTACATAACTAAGTACTGCGTAATTCAGTCATTGTATCTCATGACTTCATTCTACACCTGTATGGTCCACTAATTATGATGACGCCATAGGCTTTGAAGCTAGCTACAGGAAGAGAAACCCCAAGTAGCGCCCGTGTCTTGTGACTCGGGTATAGGTTTAAAAGTCCTTTTTTGGAATGCATTAACACTCACCTTCACTATTTGCAGCTTCCCCCCCGAGCCAACTAAATCCGGGATTAACCCGTCGCTGTAGCTGTTATACACCAAAAGAGAATTATTCAACTACCGACCTCCGTATTTACAAACCGATGTCAGTGTATGTAGTAAGGAGAGAAGCGGAGGCAACGGTTATCTTATGACAAACAACTTAGTAAGGTCAATAAATACTAGATGGCGCTATTTACAATATTTGTAATAATCTTTACTTTTTTTAACATTTCCTAAAACAAACTACTTCTTTTAATATTTTAAAAATTATCGGATTTTTTCTACAATTATGATGTGAACCCTAACACACCCAATAAATGGTCTTAAATCCAATACATTTAATATTAACGCATTAATTTAATATGTTGTAACAGACGCGTGACCCCCTTCAACTCATTTGGAAGGCCTAATGAGCCCCAAAGGATTACATATCTACCTCAAAATATGAAAATTACAAACTCATATGTAACTGGACTGAAACGAGTATATTTTTTTAATTACGTTCATTACCGAAGTAACATTTAAGGGGTGTCTCATTTTAATAAAGACACAGATATGTGTTAGAGTTCACATCAATATACACATAGAAAAAATCCGATATTTTATACATATATTAGAAGAAGAAGGCAGTTTGTGTTTAGTACTAATGAAGTATCCAATGTAAAGATTATTACAAATATTATAAATAGCGCCATCTAGTATTTATAGTCCGACCTACTACACTGACTTCGGTCTATAAATACGGAGGTCGGTAGTTGAATAATCCTCTTTCGTTGGGTGATCCGCGGCATTCAGTCGACGAGCGCAGAGCGTGCCGGTTGTTTTTAGATACTAAAGTGAATTGTATTAGAAATGGGTTTATCCCAGTCTTAGTTGGGCCTGGGGGGAAGTTGCAAGTAGTGAAGGTGAGTGTTAATGCATTCTAAAGAGGCCTTTTAAATCTACACCCGTGTCACAAGTTACGGGCGATACTTGGGGTTGCCCTTGCGGTAGCCGGCTTCAAAGCCTAAGTCATCCACATTAATTAGTGCTTCTTACATATGGATTTGTACCTCCAGTCTTAAGAGCAGTAGGATTTCATACCTATCTCCATTCATACACATAGTGTAAGGGGCAGGAAGGAGATTGTTAGTATGTGGACTCTTGACCCATTTTTTTTATACCACATAGGTGACAAACAAGCATACGGCCCATCTGATAGTAAACGGTTACCGTAGCCTATAGACGCTTGAAACAACAGGGGTGTCACATTGTGCCCCATTGCAAGCAATGTACCATGTCAAGATAACCTCCACGCGGTTCCCACTGGAAACCATGGTGATAAATTCCAGGTGAATTTATAACGAAGGGCTAACTGACCTGATCTCATGCTCATATTAACATCCTCCACTGATACTGCTTAAACCTTAGCGCAGGCGGGTGCACCATTACATTATCATATAAAAAAAAACATAATGTAAGGCACACTATATTTACGAATGGAGAGTGTGGTATGAAATTAATTTTAATAAAGTTGTATAGAGACATTTTTATGGAACGATACGATATTGAAACCTTTAAAAATAGAGCTTATTTCTTTTTAAATATATTAATTAAATGAATCCCTAGCTCACGCACTAATTGATCATCAAAATAATAAACAGGAACCTTCGTCATCAAGAAAATTTGAACAGATTTGACGGCCTCGGTCTGACACGCCGCTTTATTTCCGATGATCATGGGTTCGATTTCTCGCATGGTACAAACATTCATATTATGAGTATGATTGTTTATATCGGTGTGGGTGTTTTCTATGTATATTATGTATGTACTTCCAAAAAAATATCTAAGTATTATTTTGGATATCGGTTGATCGTTGTCGATTTATATCGGTTGTCTAGTACCCATAACACTAGCTCTACTTACCGTGGGACTAGACGTTGTCCAAAAAAACAATGTTAAAAAAACATTCATGGCCGACTAGATTCGATGTATCAACAAAATTTATAAAATATATATGGCGTTTTTTAATAACTTTAACTTATTTTATATATGATATTTTAAAAATTGTTCTTAATACTAGTATATCTCTGATTATCTATGTTATTGATTATATTACATTCACTTTTAAATTATTAAAGAAAATGCCACACGAATTAAAGAAATTTATGTCTCTAAAAAGATACTTACTACCTCAGGTATGGAATAGTCAAATCAGCTAATAAACTAGTTGTATCGCCTACATTTTCAATGTCGATTACAGAGATAGACTGTAAACCTTTTTTCGGACAACTCTAATCCTGTCGGCCGCAGCTGGCCTTTACAGCTTTACCGGACGATATGCAGATGACACTTCAAACCCGCGAAGGACTTATGGAGCGACTGAAGGCCGTCTAACGGTTACGACCTTAGTCACTACTAGGTATTCGACCCTCGGCTCAGGCTGTCGTAATTTCGATCCCCGTTTGAATTGGACGGGGGATCGATCGGAGAGGCCAACTCCCGCCTGCCAAATAAACAAGATCATACTTTAACTAAATAAAACGAGTTTTGTTTTCGAACAATTCTAATACACGCGCAGCTGGCCTTTCAGCTTTATCGAACGATAGGGGGCGAGTGCAGATGTCACTCTAAACCAAAGGAAGGACTTATGGAGCGGCTAAAGGCCAACTCTCGTCTTCGAAGTAAACAAAATCATACTTTCATTTACCAAAACGAGTTTTGTCTTCGAACCATCCGTCATACTCGTGAACGGGTGCTGCTTGTAGGGACTGGTCTGCTCTAATCACTATGACTGATTTCCTCTTATTAATTGTTTAACCAGTTGGTTATGTATTTAATATTTTTTCTTTTTGAGTATTTAATTGAATTAGTGCTAATTGGTGGTTTGTATTCACACACTTAAACTTAAAAATGTAAAGTAATAATAAAATTATTTAAAAGAGCAACACGCAAGTTTCTTTTTCGTTCTTCTTGTGATGAGACAGCTTTCCGAACGAGCGGTAGATTAAAAAAAATGTAATGACTATTCAAAAGTGCTTCAATGTAAGTTTATTTGAATAAATGATTTTCTATTCTATTCTATTCTATTCTATTCTGAACATTTCTAATGCTTTGGCCACAGCTGGCCTTTAGAGCTTTATCGAACGATAGGGGGCGAATGCAGATGGCACTCCAAACCCGCGGAAGGACTGACGGGTACGACTTTAGGCTAAGACGCACCGCTAGGAGTTTGCATTTCGGCTCAAACCGTAATAGATCCCCGTTTGAATTGGACGGGGAATAGATCAGAGGGAGTCAATACATAATTATATAGGTGTATATAATTTCTTTTGTAGAGTTTTGATGAGAAAACAATGAGCACAATATCACGTTTAGAAGGAAACCATAATGTTATTGGACTTATGTATTTTTGCAACAGTAAGTAGAGTTTTGAGGTGTAGTATATGTGTAAGACTAGTAATAGAGTATTACTTCATATGCTAATAGTAGCGAAGTTAAACAAAACCATACAAATTTGTTACTCTTTCATGTAAAAACTATTGAATAGATTTAATGAGACCTTACAATAATAGCTTAAAAAAATATAATATGATGACTAAAATATATTATTAAAAGGGGGGACCCCTTTTAATAATATATTTTAGGCAAAGTTCCGAAGATACTGGCAGCGTTCCCTCTTTGAATAGCTAGACTAATTCTTTGTCCAAGGTAGCTGCCAGCTCTTCGGTCTTCTGTGATTCAAAACTTCGAGTCTTCTGTGAGACGTCTTCTTTTCGTTATTTCTTTGAAAAGTCTTATAGCGCTAATTTTAATTTTAGGTTCTTAGTTGTACAATTAGGTTATGTAAATACTAGTAATGAATATAATAGCTTATACATCAGAATAATACATAGAGTATAAATTTGAAGTAGGTAAATCCGCGGGCAGTTCGTTATATTGTTTACTAGCTATACCAGCGACTTCGTCCGCGTGGAATTTATTTTTCTAAAATAAAAGTAGCCTAAGTTGCTACTTATTACATCAGCTACCGGCCAAAAAAAGTCCAGTCAAAATCCGTCCAGCCATTTCAGAGATTGACAAAAATTGTAAAAAATGTTAATTTGGTGTATGTACCGTATGTATGTATATTCATATGCATAAAACGGTTATTTCAATAATACAAACAGACATTCCAATTTTATTTATATATATAGATGTATGGGTTAAGCCTGTTTCTTCTGAAGAGTCTTTTTCATATATTACAGACTTTGTTGAATTATCCACTGTACCTGGATCCATGGCACGTACGTTGATAAAAAGATTGCCGCATCTAAACACTGCTACTAAACAGGCTTTCGCTGAAATTGTAAGTTTATCCTATAAATCTTGACATTTAAATGACACTGTGAAATTGTGAAGAAAGTTGTACACTCCATGCTCTAGCGTTAAACATAAATTCAAATATTTAAACAAGGTCGTCCATTGATCGAAATTCGATCATAATAAATTTAAATTATAAGTTTGAAGATTATAAGGTTTTTTGTCTTCTATGTATGTGTGAAATTGTAAAGAAGGTTGTACATTCAATGCTCTAACATTAAACGTAGCTCGTTCAACGATCGAAATTCGATCATAATAAATTTAAATTATAAGTTTGAACATTTTAAGGTCTTTTTGTCTTCTATGCATGTGATAAATTGTTAAGAAGGTTATATATTCAATGCTCCAGCATCAACCGTAACTTCAAATATTTTGACCAAGTAATGGTTGTCCATTGATCGAAATTCGACCATAACTTAAATTACGGGTTTGAATATTAATATAATATACGAATATAATATACGTTCTATTGTCAAAGAATTCTATGCACAGAACTCCTTCTATGCGTATGTACAATACATGGCAGTGTGAGTAATGTTTTTTATTTATTTTTTTAATCAAAAAGATGATAAATATTCCTTATGACGAATTCACGAGTGATAGCTAGTATATGTGTGTATGACATAACTTTTTAATGATCAATTCCTCTACAATTGTCTGTTGATTCCGTTGTAATGTGACGATGACAGTTCATGTATTAAATATATTTAATTAAAAAAAACATATATATTATTTATAGTGTATAATAGATACGTACTTATAAAGTTAATTTCGAACAAATAATATGATAGTTAAATATTTTATGCTAGCTTACGTAAAAAAACAAACTGATTAAATGCCGTTTAACTAAAGTTAGTAATTCGTTTTATGTTAATTGCGTAAGATTTTACAACCAACTACCAGAGTCTGTTCAAAATATGCCTGAAAAAAAATTATCTGTAAAAATGCTTATTATAAAATTGAAGATTGTAAATGGTAATAATGTTTTTGTAGAAAAACTTAAAATTAATAGCGCTGGCAATATTATCTGATTGCACTAAGAATGTGTAGCTTTTTCTATGTTGATTATCGCATGCGTCTTATTTGTTGTTGTGTAAATATTTAAAAAAAAATATTCAAGATCGCAACACACAAGTTTCTTGCTCATTCTTCTTGTGATGAGTCTGCATTCCGAATGAGTGATAAAATAACAAAAATGACTATTCAAAGGTTCTATTGAGTTTATTTGAATAAAGTTTATTTCTATTTCATGGCCAACAGGATGTATTGGACGAAATGATTACATATAGAATTATGACACCATCATTTGAGATCTCAGTGGCTGCGGACAAAAAGTTCGCCGCTTGCGTCGTGCATAAGTTTAAGCGAAAGTCTAGAAAATAACCAAAATTTCCAGACAATTGTTTGTTTTTCTGACCTAACTGTATATTGTAAGTGTTTTTGTCTACATAATTACAAACACAGTTGTTGGTTTGATTGAAATTTGAGAGCCTCGGTGCCTGATGGTCTAGCGGTTAAGCACATCGCTTTACCTCCGATGGTAGCAGGTTTCTCTGAGTCTGAGTGTTTTCTATATATGTAGATATATTATGTATGTATTTACAAAAAAATGTATATCTAAGTATTTATATCAATTGTCTAGTATCCATAACACAAGCTCCGCTTACCGTGGGACAAGATAACGCTGTATTAATTGTCCAGGTTTATCTCTACATAAATAAAATTGGAGTGTCTGTTTGTAATATTGAAATAACCATTTTTTACTGCGTGCATATGAATATAAATACGGTACATACACCAAAATAACATTTTTTATAATTTCTGTCGGATTATTAAATTTGTGTAAATACATACATATAGAAAGATAGAGTTCACAGTACTTTTTGCCCTTCAAAAGTAATTTCTAAACTCAATTAGAGTTAAATTCTTAACTTATACATAATTGGTTTTGTTAAATCAATTTCAGGCGAGTGTTTTGTTTACTGGATATCAAAGGAAAACTTCTAACAATTATGAAGATTATTAATAACTTATTGAAAGACCATCACGACGAGTGGCTGGCACGAACTGTAAGTTACACGAATATTTTCGGACTACACTAATGCTGTTGGCCTCATCTGGCCTTTACAGCTTCACCGGACGATAGAGGGCGGGTGCAGATGTCACTCCAAACCCGCGGATGGACTTATGGAGCGGCTGAAGGCCAACTCCCGCCTGACGGATACGACTTTAGTCACTACTAGAGATTCGACCCTCGGCTCAGGCTGTCGTAATTTGTCGTAAAACGACTTTAGTCTGAAAGCACCGCTAGGGATTCGAACCTGAAGTGAATAACAAAAAGGTATGTTGCTGATTGTACGAAATATTTTTTACAGACCGCTAATATCAATGGAATCAATCCAATTGTGGATAGAATAATAGAGGACGAGTCTGTAGAAGGTGTTATTATGACTAACAGAGATGGTACATACACATTTATATATATATACTGCTACAAAGTCGCGAGTACGACTCTGTCCGCGGAAACTAACTTTATTTTTCTAAAATACAAGTAGCCTAAGTTATTTTTTATTACATTCAGCTACCTGCCAATAAAAATCCCGTCAAAATCAGTCGTGCCATTTCAGATATTAGTTATTGTTATGTTACAGCTATCTGCCAATAAAAATCCCGTCAAAATCAGTCATGCCATTTCAGATATTAGTTATTGTTATGTTACAGCTATCTGCCAATAGAAGTCCCGTCAAAATCGGTCATGCCATTTCAGATATTAGTTATTGTTAAGTTACAGCTATCTGCCAATAGAAGTCCCGACAAAATCGGTCATGCCATTTCAGATATTAGTTATTGTTATGTTACAGCTATCTGCCAATAGAAGTCCCGTCAAATCGGTCATGCCATTTAGTTATAAAATTATTTTGGTGTATGTATCTTATTTATACAAACAGACACTCCAATATTATTTATATGTATAGATTAGCTGTGCTCGTGATTTCAGCCGCGTGAAATTTATAGCCTATATGTTATTCTGATGTAGAAGCTATATTTCTGTAAAGTCTCATCAAAACCCGTTAGTAGTTTTTGCGTGAAAGAGTAACAAACATCCATACTGACAAACTTTCGCGTTTATAATATTAATAAGTTTACCATCTCTCTCCTGCCAATTGGGATATGTAGTTATGTGTTTTGTTCAATTACAGGAGCACCTATACTGACGAACATCAGTTTAACTAGAGCAACTAACTTTGGATTAGCATTGAAACGATTAGGAACAATGATACAAAGTTATATACAGGAATTGGTAATATAAAATGATATTTATGACAAATAATAATAAAGTTGAATGTTAATAATTTTTTTTATAGGAATAACAATAATTTTATTGCTGCCAATCAAATTACATATAAGAAATACTTTTAAATGATACTTCATTAAAGACGGCAAAACGATCCGGTTTCGGACCTTTTCTACAAATTTTGAAAATGGTACAAAATAATAATAATTTTTAATATATTAAATACAATTCTCATCTTATACATATTAGCGTTGCCAAGCCTAACTCCTATAAGTATAAGGACAAACTATTTATATTCAACATAAATATATGTATAACCGTTTTTTTTTTAACAAACATACTTTATTGGATAAGTTCCTAAATTTAGTGATCGCACTTGCAAGTATTTATGCACCGATTGTAGTTGGACCATACGATGTGACACATTCATTGCCTCAACGACACGATTTATATTATTTATAAGTATACCCTACATAAGTCTTAGTTTTTCGTTCAACTCTTAAAAATTCAATATTTAAAATCATCAATAATTAAGAGGTACGCATATTTAAAAAACCCAGGACGCTGCCACATATCCTGGGAAAACAGGACGTTTGGCAACTGTTTTATGACTTATACAGGCAGTCCTGGTACTTACGGCATGTTTTTTTTATTGATGACAATGAAATGATGCACCCACTTACGCTAACGTTTTACGCGAGTGAGGAAAGAGGATGATAATGGAATGGTGCACCCGCCTGCGCTAACGGTTTACTCTGGCGGGGTACCAGTGGATGATGATCAGATGAACATGAGATCAGGTCAGTTAGCCCATCGTGACATATTTAACAGAAATTTATCACGATGGTTTCCAGGGGGAACCGCGTGGAAGTCAACCTGACATGGTACATTGCTAGTAGGTAAGTCAGGGGTTAGGATCCACACGGACTCAAAATTTAACATTAAAAATCTCTCAAAATTGACCTCGCATCAAGTGAATTCTCCTGTGTCGGAAATCAAAACAATTGACATATGCTTAAGGAATAGTTAAAAGATTGTTGGACGTAACTTGAAACGACGTAAGTCGAGTACTGAATGTAAAATTAAAAAGTTATGCCTCCCAGTAGCCCTGAGCCTCCTGGTATCTTCAAAGGCTTCACGTAGCGATCTTCCCGTTCGTTCGTAGTGTGGCCACTGCTACATATTCCATTATCACATGATATTATGGAATTACCTACCTACATACGTTATTGATTGATTTTTTTATCCATTCACAGGATCCATTTGACGAGGTCCTGGCCGTACGAATAAATACGAAACAAATTGAAATGCTCGTGGCACCACATACGGAATTTAACATAATAGTCGTCCAACACGCTAGGCATAAAATAAAACACATGAAAAATAAAATTAATAAATAAGTAACTTAACTATTCGTAAATTTTATTGTAATTGAAGTCATCAAGTATTAAAAAACTGATTATACTTCGGACTGTTATTTCGAGATAGGGAAGTAGAAACCATAGATAATAGTTTTAGGTTTTCAAATTATTTTCAATAAAACTATTTTGTAGTGACTTTCTTGCTTAAATATTTCTATTTTCTTTTCTTAAAACTAGACGTCCACAAATAAACTCGCATCCAAAGCCTTATAAGAAAACATAAAAGAAACCTCACAACCAATAGTAGAATGAAACTGCTTATGAAGTTTGTTAGACATCGTCATTTGCACCAATAATTACTCAGTTTATACTTTTAACATACTATTTATGTAACTTTAACCAATCGGGTAACGTAACTTATATCACTCACTCAAAAAATCTTTCATATTATTCATTCAGTGAATGATTGAAAACTAGTGATTCATTCTTGCTTGGCGTCCTAAATTTAATTATTCAGTGCCGCGCATAATTTGTATTAATTGTACTTGTATTGCGAATACAAAGTATTATAGTGTTTTTAATAAGTCAAAATGGCCGACAAATATGATAAAAATGGTTACAACAGCAGTGATTTCAAACGAAACTCAAATTCCGGTTCACAAGAAAATAACCAAGATGGCGAAAATGCACCTAATCTAAATGAGAAAGCCTCCGAATACATGAGGGAGTTGTTGAGCGAGAAAATAAAATTACACGCACAAAAATTCCCGCTATCCGTTAAACTAATTGACGAAGGTAAGTTTGTATGTTTGTTTTATAATTTGCATGTCATACTTGCTACTGAATATCCCGTTATATTTTGGCACGTGTTATTTTCAATATAGTTGTTTTGGCAAGTGATATTTTATCTTTATCTTCTTATTAACGGTCTCATTAATCATTGTTTAATCAGTCCGTCATAGTTACCAATCTCCACATTGCGCAAATACATCATAGCAAGTTTAAATAAGCCGGAACTGACATTCGTAGACGTTGAAGGATACCCATTGTAAAATATCATTCTATTGAATTCCTGATGAATAAACCACACTAATCACTGCCGACTGACCTGAATAATTGACCTCGTCGTAGTTTCCACTGCTGCTTACTCTATCGTAGCCCATTATCATTTATCTATATGTATTACTAGCTACTCGCCCCGGCTTCGCCCGGGTATACATGTGTTATATATTTAAACCTTCCTCTTGAATCACTCTATCTGTTAAAAAAATCGCTTCAAAATCCGTTGCGTAGTTTTAAAGATTTAAGCATACATAGGGACGGACAGATTGTGTATATATAGACGGACGAAGCATAGTCCCATAGCCGAATCCTTAAGACATGTTCACGATAATCATAAACTATCATGTACTATCATCATATCATTTTCATGAAGTTTGCAACATTGTATAGTCATACCGTTCAATTAAACATCTTATAACTGTGTGAAAGCGGTTCCCCCTGGAAACCATCTTGATAAATTCTTGGTGAATTTGTTACGATGAGCTAACTGACCTGACCTCATGCTCATCTTATCATTCTCCACTGGTGCCCCGCCAGTGTAAACCGTTAGCGCAGGCAAAAAAACCTGAAATAGTATATTGCTAGGAATGGGGTGAACAGTCCACATTACTAATGATCCCCTTCTACGGTTTAGAACTTATGTGCTACTGTTGTCATCAAACTTTTAATGTATTAATTTACTAATAAAGGATATACCAATAGCAGAGAGAGAGGACACACTCCCCCTCTGAGTTACAGACCATTTTGTCTCGTTTATTACTTTTAAATCTATACTAACTATATAACATTATGCTAGGACCAATAGAAGCAAAGCATTAGTGAAAAATATTCAAAGTATATATATTTGAGGGCTTCCAAAGATAATTGCAATAGTGATTTTAATAACCATGTGAATGAATTGTGGGCATGCTAGTTTTGTTATATGCAGCAATTATGTAGGTTTATTATTTGAAACAAATAAAGATTATTATTATATTTTAGACTTCGTCCATGTGGAATTTTACTTAATTTTTCTAAAATAAAAGTAGCCTAAGTTACTCCTTATTACATCAGCTACCTGCCAATAAAACTCCCGTCAAAATCGGTCCAGCCATTTCAGAGATTAGTTGGAATAAACAGACGGACAGACAGACAGACAAAAATTTTATAAAATGTTATTTTAGTGTATGTACTGTATTTATATTATATATTTATATGCATGTAGTAAAAAACTGTTATTTCAATGTTACAAACAGACACTCCAATTTTATTTATATGTATAGATATATTGTAATTTCTTTACAGAGGTGACCCGTGTACAGACAAGTGGACGTGCCCCAGCAAAGGAATACAAATATGTTGATGTCCACAATGAGAAACCAATCAAAGTCGTCGCTAAAGTTCTGGTACCCGTCAAAGACTACCCAAAAGTGAGTAGTAATTTAATAATAATGATAATTTATTATTATTTATTAATTTATCCTCAATGCACCCAATACAGAATATAGTACAGTACATTTGATGGACTTAATGCCATGTGGAATTTTCTACCAGTCCACCATAGATGGTGCAGAGAATAGATGTCGGCCGGGTTATAGACATACCAGATAATGTTCAGGACAATTCACTTAACTGCTGTGCCGTTTTAGTAATTGTCAGTACAATGGAATGTTGAATACAATGGAATGTGAATTGATGTTTTGAATTTATTTAAGGGTATTGGAATTACCCTTAAATAAATTCAAAACATCTGTTAAATCATATTTACTGAGCAAGGCCTATTACTCACTAAACGATTACTTGAATGACGAGCGTGCATGGCAATAGTTTTCATGTTTGGGATTTTCATTTAATGTTAGATAGACACCTATATAAATACCTATGCATTGTAAATAAACTGGATTTAAAAAAAAAGTAATTCAATTGAGTTTCTTGCCAGTTCTTCTCAATTGGATCATCTATATGCCGAACTGGACGGTAGGGAAAAAAAATTATAATGTAAACTTGACATTCATAAGCAGCTAAAATGTCCTACATGAATAAATTATTTTTGAATTTGAATTCAAATTTAATGTTTGTAAATGTATATAGAGAAAGAAAAATTTTCTTATAAAAAAATAATGTAGTACTTATAGAATAACCCAACTAAAGGAAGGGGGTATTTCTTATACTCCTTATCCTTTTTCCTAATAATAACAAGTTACTACTAATCTATACAAATAAATAAAAATTATTTGTCTGTTTGTTGTTTGCTTGACTTTTGGCTGACTTTCACTTGCCAATAGCTAATGTTACAAGGAGTGACTTGGGCTACATTTATTTTAGAAATTTTACTTATAATGTAGAGGAAGTCCCAGCTATCAGCTAGTTATAAATGTTCCTTAATAATTTTCTTTTTAGTTCAATTTTGTGGGCAAACTTTTGGGTCCAAAAGGCAACACCATGAAGCAGATGCAAGATGAGACTATGTGCAAAATGGCTGTACTTGGACGTGGGTCAATGAGAGACAGGTAATGTTGTAAAACCTTTTTGCTTCACTTACGACAAGAGCACCACCTCCTTCAGCTATCTATTAGCAGGAGAGATCTACCTAAGGGCTTTTTGAGCTGCAACCCAGAGCCCTGTGGATACAAAGGTCCCCCAGCCCCCACTGAAAACAATAGGGGATATATTGACTTACCTATCATAAGGTTAGCAACCTTGACATCAATCAACTCATGCATGTGGCGCGTCTATCAAACGGAAAGGGGAATTTCCCGTCGCTTGTTTTTGGTTTGTGTTTTTTTTAAGCTGAGTAATATAATGAGATAGTCATACTTAAGTAATTTTAGCCCAGCCACACAACTTCATGATTCAGCCTTGTCTTTTAGATATATAGGAGAAGTAAAAGAGAAAATTCTTTCTTTATGCTCCACAATTAAAAAGCAGCAGTAATAATGCAGTACAACATTTGAGAGAAAATATGCTTTACTAGCTCTGCTCGCGGTTTTACCCGTATGAAATTTATTGCCTATGTATTATTCTGAAGTATAGGCTGTATTACTGTAGATTTTTATCAAAATCCTTTTAGTACTTTTTGCGTGAAAGAATAACAAACATCCATCCACACTCACAAGCTTTCGCATTTATTATATTAATATTAACATTTGCATATAGATAGTTATTGATGATGATAAAGGAATAGTGCAAGCTAATGGCGATATTGGTACATTGATATTGCATTTACAACAACAAAATTATTAAATTACTATAGTATACATACTCTTTTTTTATTTCAGATTATAATTAGTTTATCATAAATTGCAGTTTAAGAATATTTTAAGGAATAAAGACAATTATTACATAGTTAAACAATTTCTTTTTAAATTGCTCAGACGGAGAAGAATTAACTTTTGCCAACTTATATATTTATACAGAAAGAGTGTAAAATTAAAATATTAAAAAAAATATATGCATTAAAATAATTACACGCACACTGTCATGTATTAGTCACATACAGGCATATATACTCTTGTTTATTTGTTGAAATCTGTGGTTAATCTATAGTCTTACTGAATGTTAAAATTAGTTATGGCCGAATTTCGACCACTAATACAATTTAATAGCCATGCAATAGCAATTTCCTTATCACACCTTATTATTTTTCTATTACTGTTAAAAAAGTATTTCAATATCCTAAAATGTTAATAGTACAACTAAAGTATTATGAATACAGACAAAAAGAAGAGGAATTCCGCAACTCATTAGACCCGAAGCATTCTCACCTGTCCGATGAGCTCCACGTCGAGATCTCCGCGCTGGCGCCTCCTGCAGAGGCCCACGCAAGGATTGCGTACGCTCTCGCTGAAGTTAAGAAGCATCTGACACCGGACACCAGTGACATGATCCGGCAAAACCAGATGCGCGAGATTATTGACAGAGGTTTGTTGTGTTCAATGTACCAAAACGTAAGATCGATCCGCCGTCCAATTCTACAACGGCCTGAGCCAAGGTACGAAGCCCCCCTAGAACTAAAGTCGTATCTATCAGGTCCCGCCTAGCCTTCAGCCGCTCCATAGGTCCTTCCGCGGGTTTGGAGTGCCATCCCACTCGCACTCTATCGTCCGGTGAAGCTGTAAAGGCCAGTTGCGGCCAACAGCATTAAAAAAAGCAACCTAAAGGTCTTCATAGACCTTAAAATAATGATAGGGACAATATCGGACTGTCACTGTTAGGTTGTGGTACCTAACAGACAGTCCTCTTTGTCGGGGTTACCTTAAAGCCAAAGAAATTGATACGTAATTCTGAAGTGTGTAGTAGTGACCACCCAACATACACTAAACCTCGGAACGGTGAAGTCGCTCGTGAAACCTGTGCACACCAGAAAGTTTCTGCACTTCTAGTAATAGCTTGACTGGCTACTTTAGTAGTCTCAGGTCCATACGCAATACTAGGTCCTACTTACATTTATCTTACATACTGGAATTACCTTTAAATAAATTTAAAACATCAGTTAAATCATATTTCTTGAACCTATTATTCACTAAAGGATTACTTAAATGACAAATGTGCATTACAGTAGTAGTTCCTGCACGGAATTTCATTAATGTTACATATTATAATGTTAGATATTATGATTATTATATAGATACCTAAATAAGTACATAATAAAAAAACGAACTTAAAAAAAAAATTCAGTTTAGTTTCTTGCCAGTTCTTCACAATTAAACCTGTCTGCTGAACTGAACTAATATAAACGCGAAAGTTAGTATGTATGGATAGATAGATGGTTGTATATTACTCTATCACGTAAAAACTGAACAGACTTTGCTGAGACTTTATAGTAATACAGCTTGTACATCAGAACAACATATGCGGATGACACCATAGGCTAGTGTGGGATAAATGTAATTAAATTTATACTAAAGAATATTTAAACAAAATATCAGATTGCGACAGGAGATCGACATGTTGCGTAAAATTATATTTAGTTGAGCACTATCTGTATACAACTTGTGGTGTAGCTAAAATATTTAAAACTAAACATAAAAAATAATTGACTTCTTGTTACATGTAATATTTTTTTAGTACATCAACTAACAATAATTGATTTTTGGCAATAGTTTAAATATCTTGATATATTTTAGTATTTAAACTTTGACCATTAAATGTAACCAACCAAAGACATGGGTAGGGGCTTGTTGAGAAACTTGATATATTTAAAGTTTTCTTGTATTCTCTAATCAAAATTATAAAAACAAAATTATATTATGTCACTTCACTCTCTACCATCTTACCATTAAATACATTTTTCCAGTCATAAATAGTTTTACTATATATTTCAACAACTGGGCTACAAATTACTGAAGTTGGGAATTAATTTAATTTAATAATAATATAAACCAACTGGTACACGGGTGGGACTAAATATTACTGAAGTTGAGACTTAATTTAATTTAATAAACCAGGATTTTCAATTAGAAAAACCAAGACAATTTAGTTTAAAAATGAGACCCAATAATAGAGTTGGAATAGCTATTAATATGTAGTGAAAATAGGTAAAATGAAATTCTAGTCATTAAAACAAACATATTTTTTAATTTCAAAAATCCCAGGATGTTGCTTAAATTCAGGATGTCCCGCTAACTACAAAAACTAGGTCATGTCCTGGGAAAACAGGATGGTTGGTAACTCTAACATGGATAATAAAATGAAATAAACCACGTGTATTCGATTGTCATCAGATATGGGCCCGCCGCGACCTCTACTGGCTCCTGGTCCGGATGTCCAGTACAATCCGTATGCAGTCACAAAACGAGCCCTGTCGTACCAAAACCCAATGAAACCCATCAATGATCACAATGCGATACCACCACACAAAAAACAAGGTAGATTGAACTTTATTTTCTAATACATATAGTTTATTTTACTACACAAAGTGTGTGTACCTTATCCTTTTTAGTTTATACAAACCTCTATAAGAAAAACCATCACACAAAAAACAAATATATTTTTTTTTTTTTTTATCTCAGGACAATTCACACACCGCCATCTAGACCCACGTTAAGCTACCTAAAGCTTGTGTTATGTAGATTGAACTTTATTTTGTTTTACATATAGTTTATTTTACAACACAAAGTGTGTGAGACTTATTCTTTTAATTTTATATGAAATTGTGTTATATGATACCTCTACATAACAAGGTAGATTGAACTTTATTTTCTAAAACATACAGTTTATTTTCATAACACAAAATGCGTGAGTCTTATCCTTTTTAGTTTATACAAACCTGTATTAGACAATACCAGCACACAAAAAACAAGGTAAATTGAACTTTATTTTCTAATACATATTGTTTGAATGTTTAATTGAAAATGTGTATGCAATAAAATTCTCATGTAAAATTAAAAAAGTATTCGAGAATAAAAAAAATATATGTTATTGCTTATTTTTGTACATTGACAGTTAATACAGGCTTTAGTCACTGTTAATAGACTGAACACTTAAGAATTTTCATTAAAACTAAAATCTCAATCAATCCCATTTAAAATATTGAAGTGTTTTCTTATTTTCTAATAAAGAAAGAAAAAAATATCAAATAAAGAAAAAAAAGCTTGAACGAAATAAGGTAAAAAAGCTTGAAGTGCAATAGCTATATAATTTTGTATAACTCAAATGCAATAGAATCATATCAGATTTTCCCTGAGAAATGAAAACTGTTGCTTTTCTAACGTATGGGCCCTAAATCCGCAAGGCTTCTCGTTTGAGCTCAGTCAGAGTATTGGACTATTTCTAACCAAACTCAAATAGAAATGTAACTATTTGTCGACCTCCTGTCGCAGTGATAAGCATATTGCCTTGCTTATGAAGTCCCAATTCGATTCTCGGTTGAATGTTTTTAACTGAAATTGCAACTAAGGTGAATGTTTGCATCACAAACTTACCATGGACCATCAGTGCTATTCCCATTCATGCTATTTCTTTGGACTAAAGTACTGTGTATATGGGAGGTATGATATACCTCCCATATACACAATAATGGTTGTTCCTTAGTCTCTAGTAACATAAAAAATAATAAAGTAGTCTGTCCTAAATTGTATTAATTCTCGTTTTATTAATAGAGGCGAGACTAACAAATAAAGACTTAATTTGATTCACATTGATTTTACAGGACCACGACCTGGACCCCGGCCGGGACCTGGAGGCCCCCCGGGCCGTCCACGCATGCAGGCGCCGATGGGGCGTGCCATGCCGGCGAAGAATAAGGTACTCAGTATCCTGGACCGCGCTCGCACTGCGATGGAGTCCAACTACAGCTATGACGACCCCTACGGACCTCCGGAGCCACCGGTAAGTGGGTCTATTAAAAATAGGGCTACGGTAATCGTTTAATATGGATGTCCATGCCCGCATGCAGTGGAGAGAAGTATACTAAAGCTACGGAAAAATTAAATATAAAATAAGAAACATTGTCATTCGCGAGATGACTAAAATTAAAGACTTATTTCAATGTGGTTTAAGACAGAAATGGAAATGGGCATATAGCTAGCTGTACTGAACTGAAGGTGGACTCGCCAATTGACAAAATGGCTAGGAGAAGCAGACAAAAGGCGAGTGGGTGGTCAGAGAGTAGGTAGACAGAGAAGATGGTCTGAGGACATCAAATATTGTTTATATGTTATATTAATAAAAATAATTACTGTAAAATTTCATCAAAATCCGTTCACTAGTTTTTGCGTGAAATATTAACAAACTTTCGTGTTTATAATAATTTAATAAGATTTAAAATAAAAGAATATAAGTAATTATATCAGTTGTTTAGTACGCATAACACGAGCTTTGCTTACCGTGCAACTAGATGGTCTGTGTTAATTGTCCAGGGTTATTTATTTATTAAATAAATTACTTGTTATAGGTGCGCGGCCTGCCACAGAGGGCGGCGCCTGAGTCGGAGTTCTTCTACGAGCGCAGCCACGAGCGGTACTACGAGGACGAGCCCTACTACAAGGAGGAGCGCGAGTTCAAGACGTCGGCCCGCGACGTGGGCACGCGCCGCCCCGCGCAGCACCCGCAGCACCCGCAGCAGCGCCACTACGCCAGGGCTTCGCCCTACGCCCGCCCCAAGTAGATACCGGCTGTTCGTATCGATTTAGTGCATGGTGCGGTCACCCATCCGTCCTTACCACCTATGTAGTTATTTAAGTAACTTTACCTGTTATAAAATATACACATTTAACATACTAGCCGTGTCCGCGACTTCGCGCAGCGCACGCAACGGAAGTCCTCAAATATGAACAATTTTCCCCGTTTTTGCAACATTTTTCACTGATGCTTCGCTTCTATTGGTCGTAGCGTAATATTATATACCTTAAAGACTTCGACAAATGGACTATTCAACACAAAAATATTTTGTCAAATCGAACCAGTAGAGTTGGAGATTAGCGCGTTCAAACAAATTTTTCAGCCATATATATTAGTATAGATAAAACAATAATATATTAAACCTTACTGTACATACATAATAAACATGGTATAAAAGGCGAACTAAATACTAGAACTTAATGACAATTGACTACTTACTCTTTAGGATAATCGGGAATAGAGGGATATTTAATCAAATAAAGGAAGGTAATATTATTAATACGTTAATAAATATATTCAATAAGATTTTTTAAGGGCTCTCTCTCACACACACGCACGCACGCACGCGCTATGTATCTTCTGGGTCATTACATCACATTCTATTACTACACACAAAACCCTTGGTCCTACCCACCAGACCGCGCCTATGCACATTATTTTCTGTTCGCTTTTTATTTTTAATTTTGTTGTTTATTAAATATTTTGTTGCTTTTATATTTTTTTTTTCGTACATAGTATTGGACTGCAGATTCTAATTTGAAGTTGTTTTTCTTCCAGGACCGCACCTAAAAAGCGTTCGCAATAGGTGAGTAGTATTCTGTCTCGAAAATCTTAACTCTTCATTACAAGCAAAACCGAAGAACAAACAAAACATCTAAAATATGAAGAAACTCACCAAACTATAAATTAAACTATAAGTACATCGCTATAGGTATAGGCACTAAAAATAATTATAATTTTCTCTCATACGACGGACCAAAATCCTAACATTGTGTTGCTGATTTGTAATTGGTATGCAATATACCAAGATAAAATAACGAGACAAAAACAAATAACTTCTATAATATAATTATAATTCTTTTATATTAAATGTATATTAAAAATTCAGTTTTTTATCAAATCTAATGGATTTAATATAGAAGTTGCACATTAAATAATAAATAATTAAATGCATGCAGTTAAATAGAGGTTGCAAAATTTTTATAATAAAATCAATATGGTTACGAGCATTTGTGACTAATAAATCTAAAAAAAAACTAGTTGTTTGAACAAAATACTTTTTATTTTTCATAAAAATTAAATTTAAGTATAGTTCTCTCGTCATGTTTATTCAAATAATAGTAGGGATAAAGTTAATTCAACATGTTTTGATTAAAACAATGAACTAGCGAGTAGGGGCTCAAAATATTAATAAAAATATTTTATGTATGGCTTCTTTCAAGCTGCTAAATGTGTTGAAACATGTTGAAGATGTATGACAAAGTGTTGTAATGCAAAATTTGTGTGACTTTGAAATAAATAATCCTAATTTTAAAAAATGATTTTGATTTTAAACTAATTGGACTTTCAATACCTGATAATACGACATCCGGTAATATTTTTAAATTCCGGTTAAATACGACTTGGAATAGTGACGATTCCAACCCAATATTATTTAAGTATAATTAACCCGTGGATATGCGAACTGCCATGGATAGAGAGGGTGGCGGAAGATGGAGGAGGCTTTTACCCGATGGGTGCCACATAATAAGAAAAAATAATAAAATAAACCAAAAGTATAATGTTTGAAAAATATTATGTGGATATTAAAGCTATGATAATAAAAATCCGTGCATATCTCTATTGGTTTGACTATTATTAATTCATATTTATACACTTAAATACATACTACATTATGAAACTGTTTGTATCCCAAATAAGTTAAAATAAAAATAGAATAATATAAAAAAAAAACTGTACACATGGGACTGATTAGTACTCATATAATATATACACTAAATAAAACTATAAAATTGAATCTGATAACATTTAGTATTTTTGTTAAAAGTTTTTTATAATTTTTGCAAACATCAGTCTATTCTGTAACGTTTTTGTTAACTATAATAATTTTATTACTTACGCTTATTCATTTTAATTTATTCTGTTTCAGTAGACAGATGTGATATTATATATTTTTAATTTATTTATGACTGAGACTAAATTTTCAGTATTAGTTTTTTTTTTAAGATTAGCCGGTCTTTATAGCTTGGTTAGTTTTTATTTTATGTCATTTTTAGTATCGACATATGCATCGATAAAATGATTCTAAAAAATGCTTAAGAAAATGGCCGTGAAAGTTTATAAAACAAAAAAATTAACCAATTTAACAATTTACGAAAGGTACGACAGGTAAAAAGCCATACAGCTTTATGTTAATCATTTAAAAGGTGATCTACATAGGGAGATAAATCTCATCATTATAAGATGTTGTAATAAATATTTTCATTTGCAATTTCACTGAAAATCGTAATCTCAAGATCTCTCAAAAAAAACTTTAAATACGAATGACTAAAGATTATATATACTTATGGAAGTAATAAAAAACAGTATTAAATAGGAAATATATTAATATGATAGAAGAAAAGTCAGTAATATTGCAAATTAAAATAAATATTAATTTAATAATATATCATGCTCAATTAAAAACTACTATTACTATTAAACAATCCATTGTAAATAATGCAATACTAATGATTAGGCCTGGCTTCGTACGGGTGGCGTTGTTGTACTGATCTTAATTTTATTGAATATAAAATATACCCTTACTATTTTATTACTCTGTGATAATGCGTGAAAAGATGAAAGAATTTTAAAATCGGTTGAGTATTTTCTTTAATTACTAAGATAACATTAAATATATCTCCTTTTTAATTTTAATAGAAATTTATCTAACTTAATAATAATAGTAGTCAAAATTTATTTATGAATTTTAGCTCTTGTATAACTCGATAAATAAAAATGTAAAAATATGTTAATAATAGAGTTATAAAATATAAAAATTTTGATATCTGACAAAATGGATAAAATAAGATTTCAAAGTATTAAAAACTAGATAAAACACTACCATTGATTTTCTCAAGCTTAAGGCCTGCCTGATGAAAAATGACTATACATAAGTATCACTACGGACATTATGTAATACCGTTTTCAAATCAAATCAAAATATCTTTATTCATGAAGATCTATTACAGACTCTTATGATATGTCAAATATCGTCAGTTCATAGTGCTTTCGAGCTAAAAATAACCGTCAAGAAACTCCGCTCATATTCACGGCTTGTACATGTTTACTAAAATACAGATTCGTTTTTAAATTCAAATTAGAGAGAATAGAGAGACAACCAGCATATGCTATTACAATTTTATATTTTTCTGAGACCAAACGTGTCAATCATATATCCGTATTCTGTAATATAACTAAATAGACTCAATTTAGAGTCCAATATTGCAAAGCAGCAAATCAATAATAAATTATTGAACCATCTCACATGATTTTGGAAACTGGATACGCTATATAATTAAACCACATATATTTAGATATTATGTGGGAAGATAACTAACAAACAGCTATCAAAAAACGCTATAAATATTTAAAAATACCTCATAAAAATAAATAATCTGTTGAAAATTTACTGAAAAATGGATAACACCAAGGCTTTAAACTTGAATACACAATAATTAACAAACAGGTAAAAATAAAAAATAAAAACAAAATGGCTGACCATACTGCGATAAAGGTAAGTGGCTTTTCTTTTGTTAGTTATATTGTAGCATTTGTTATTGTTGATAATGGATTTGTTCACCCGCCTGCGCTAACGGTTTACGCTGGCGGGGCACCAGTGGAGAATGATGAGTGTGAGGTCAGGGCACAGTGTGTCCTGACCTAACACTCATCTTTTAACGGTTTATGCTGGCGGGGCACCAGTGGAAGATGATAAGATGAGTGTCAGGTCAGGTGATAAATTCACCAGGAACTAATATAAAGATGGTTTCCATGGGGAACTGGTTCAAGGTCAACGTGGTACATTGCTAGCAATGTTCATTAGTTCATCTTACTAACAATCCCATTCTTCCAGTAGTAGAGGCAATAATCAGTGCTCGGGTGATGTTCCAATTGCTTAAAATATAGTTCTGAACATATGGTAACATGCAGGATTAGACTTAATCGTGACAATATTCATGATTCTGAACGGATTTCCACAGAAAGTAAAGTAAACACTCTTTACATGGGTAAACACATTTTAAGATATGGGTAGTCCAAATATAGATTTGGACTACCCATATATGTCCAATTTGGACTACCCATATCTTAAAATGCTGTCCTTTATCCGAGCAGTGCTAACAAAGCTTCTTTGCGGGAGAAACAGATACCTCTGTTGACTCTACAGTCCAATTTGTTTACTTTAAAATACTTTGTATTAATTAAAAAGAAAACATGAAATGTATGCATCTTTTTTTTTTATCTGTATATCTAATTTTTCTACCCGGAATTGAACCCAGTACTTATTATAGCTACTACTATGATTTCCATTTCAGCTAACGTCAGTAGATTTGTATTTTTCATTCGCTTGTCATTTGTAACCATTATTTTATAAACTGTGTTTTCTTTGACAGATTTATTAATAAAATATATTTAAAAACAATCTCATTTCGTTTCATTTCAAATAAAATATTGTGTTCAGTGTATAAACTGCATTTATTACATAATGTTATTAAAATAAATAATATTACAAACTTGATAAAAGCTCAATTATCATGCAATTATCTATAAGTAGAAAATAAAGCTTCGATAGAGCTAACTTATATCTAAGTCATCGTTATATTATATATATATATATGTAAGGGGCTATCGATAAATTAGGTCACTTGTAAGGGGATGGGAGAGGGTTGACTCAACCGTCTCACCAATTTTTAGCACTTCAAGCCGCTAGCTGCATCTGGCGGTCGTATTTAACCGTAATAAGCATAAAATGAGGTTAATTAACCGTTAACAACGAAAAATGCATTTTTAACCGCTTGGTTATAACCGTTAATAACCGGTTTCGCATCTGTGGTGTTGACAGTCTGATATTGTGTAACGAAAGGTTGTATTTACTAACATGAAAACTATTTCTTACATTTTGAGACATTTTTATTTTAGTAGAAATCACGAATTCTTTAACTAGCATCTGTGACAGAGGTCAAAACTATAAAAAATATTTGACGCAATTTATCGATAGCCCCTAATTAAATGTGAATTTATAGTCGATTGGTGCAGAAAATTATCACTTAAAAATATGAATGGAGACTGCTAATTATTATATAAATAGAGGTTTTGTATTTTACCAGGAGCTTACGTAACTATGTTATTAACATTTGTCAATTGTAACATTAACATTACAATTTTAGCTCGAATTTGCAACTCGTTAAAATGTTGATAGTGAATCGCAAACTCGCCCTATAATGCATTACAATTGAGAATTGGTAATAAAATAATTACATAATTTAGATCCTAGGTACAAAACAATTAACACCACAGCGCCATCTAGTGCCAAGGTAAGCAGAGCTTGTGTTATTAGTACTAGACTACTGATATAAATACATAGATTTTTTTGTTTATACATATATAGTATACATAGAAAACAGCAGGCTGATACAATCATACTCCTCTAAACGTTTGTACTGTGCAAGGAATCGAACCTGTGATCGTCGGGAGTAAAGCGGCGTGCTATCCTCTAGACCACCGAGGCCGTGAATACAATGATTGTATTACAAATCGGTAGTTACAATATTATAGAAAATTTCCATTATTTAGAAATAATGATGATGTAGGAAAGTTTAACAACTTATCGCGGTGTTGTAAGAGAAAACTGAGGATAGGGATCAGTGGAGTATCGAGAAATCTGAAATATTACGTCGCCTAGCCAGTGTAGTATGGGGAGGGTACATATTAAGATAAAATTAAGAGAAAAAAATGCTTAAATTAGTGATTGAAAAAAAAAGTTTTATAAACAAACATTTTAGAAGCACAAGTATTGCGTACAATATATTCCCATGTCAGATATATTTACATAGATAATGGAATATTCATATAAAATAAAAGATTTTTTACATGTCATTAATACTTTTGTGTAAATAGATATATTAAAGAAATTTGACTAAATCAACGAGGTCCATCGTTGCTCATGACTAGACCCCAAAACAAAAAATATATTTAAAAAAATCTTAGAAAAATAAACAACTACTTTTTTATACTACCTACTGGGAAATGCGAAATTGTTGCAACTCGAAATATTCTTATGACTTAGGGTCAATACTTATAATTGGTGCAAATAATAAAAATACAATGTTTATTAGGTTTATAATGCAGGCTGTTTGTATGGACGATGCGAAGATCGAGCCACAAATTAATACGCCATAGACTATTTGAAATGTTTTCCACAAGTAAATGGTCTAATAGTTTTTTTTTAAGTTATAGCTACAATTATTTACATGTCTCATCCTCAGTATTTGACTATTGACAAGACTGATATTTGTGGAAGAATTTGTTGATATTAATGGCACCAGAACAAAAAAAACTTGGTTGTGTTTTAACTTAATGTAGTAAAATTACCAATAAAAAGAAGGCTTAAAAGAATGAGTTATGAATAGCAGTAATAAGGATATTTAGTTGTCAAACATGTAACAATGGGCTGTTGAGTAGTTACTAGTTATAATGTTTATGTTGTCTGTAGTTACTAAAGTTAATGTTTTATCTATAATAATATTAGTCTGAGGTGTTTTGTATTACAATGAGTATGAATTCGCGGTCAGGTGCAATGAGGATCTCGTGTCTTCTACTCCGCAGTCGTAGGAATGTGAGCTCGTTTGTGGAATCCTGAAAAAGAGAAATTTCTTTACTGTAAGTATATGGTTTAATTAATTACAGTTTTCAGTAGATAGATTTTAATAAGAACTTGAAAGTATAGAAGAGGAGTGGATTCTAAGTACTGGGATAGCATCACATGAATGGTATCACAGGTCACATGATAATGTGATGCAGAACCGCATCTCAAAGGATCAAAGAAAATCAAAGGATTTATGGGCTGCAGCCCAGGGCCCATTGAATATAAAGAGCCCTCAGCCCCCACTGAAAACAATAGGCAATATTTAGATTAAAAAATCTATAATATTAAAAAACCTATCATAAGGTTGACAACCCTGAGATTAATCAACCCATAGATGTGCATGTCTATAGAAGGGAACGGAGAATTCACTGTTGCTTGTTTTTGGTCAGTGTATTTGTTTACTTGAGTAATATAATTAGGTAGACCCATTTTAGCCCAGGGCCCCACAAATTCACAATCCTCCCCTGATGTGATGGCTGTAGTGCTATTTATGTACATAGACAATGGTTATCACAAACCATCAGGTAAGCTATCACCTTGTTTGCTATTCCAATTGCATAAAATATTTATTTTTTTATCTAAACTTGATGAAGTTGAGATTATAGAAATTAAATATAACAGAAAATTTGTTAACATTTAAATCAAATACATTGTAACACTACTAAATTATAGTATCTTCCCTAAACATTTTATATATAAAGATTCTCATAAGATGCAACTCAGTACAACATAACAGGGACAATTTAGAAGTAAAGATATCTAAAAAGATGTAACTCAGTACAATGCATAACATACTCCATTGTAAAAATAATTAGTATCTTAGATTATGTAAAGTGATGAACCTAGATGCATGACACATCACCTCTAACACATCTTTCATAACGAGTAATTTGTCTTGACTGAAATAGGACTTAAGCAACTGCATGCACTATTACTTTCTAATGTAGTAAATAGAAGAGATTCAGTGCTACCCTGAAGGTATTTTAGTTTAAAATGTAAGGTTTACCATTTCTCTTACGACATTCCTCGCCTTTTCTGTTAATTGACCAATCAATCCTGAATAAAGTACTGATGTGGCGTTGTCTAGAGAACTCTTTATGGGGATACCTGAAAGGTAAACAATATGGTTTCTTAAAAAATTCAAACTTTCACAAAATCAATATGATTATAGGTCGATTTATATAATATAATTAGGGCAGGTAACCATGGAATCGCATAAAAATCGACCAAACCTTCGTGATTTACGATCACTACGCCCATTACACCTTTGTGAGCTTGAATTCGTTTGATTGTGTCTTCTACTTCAGTGGCCTGGAAATTAAAATTATTTATAGTGTTTACAAAGTTACATACTTAAGAAATCACTGGGTATTTGAAATATATACCATTTTTGAAGATTGTTTTTATGAAAATTATTTATATGATGTCACAGGCACAGCAGTTTCAGAGTTCAGATTATTTTATTCACTGGCTCTGTGCTAGAACCAGATGCGGTGTTGTATGTCATTTTGACATCATTGAGCTGTCATTTAATAGAAATGTCTCAGTTCAGTTTCGCTGTCATATCCTGAATTGACATTTATTTGACAGTTTGACAGATATCCCGGGCGGAAATAATAATCATCACGGATTAATGAAGAAATTAAACTTATTTTAATAGTTTTACATAAGTAGACATGTTTAAGTATGAGTTTCAAAAGAGTAAAACTAAGTTTTATTGACTGTAACGTATAGTAAAATGCGCTGGTTCTAAGAGAACAATGAACGATAGCGGTGCAGAATGTTCCGAGGCCCTTGATCCCAGAGTACAGGTGAATAAAATCAATATTTTTGATGGTAACTGATTATACAGACACAGAATAATGTATCTGTAAAATAAACAATGAAACTAAGCGCATTAAAGTAAGCGTTTTATTTAAAATAATTTAAAAAAGAACTTGTTTATGTTTTCTTCTTTCATAATACACCTACACATATCCTATTATTGTTAGTTGAGTTTATTTATTTAATCATAGGATATATATTTAGTTTGAGTAGGTATACGTTATATATCTGATTCTTACTTATATAATAAAAAAAAACATATTTTTTATTTATTATTCTGAATACAAAGAAATTATAGGCATGGAGTACTTTATTCCTGGTGGCATTTTCAACTAGTCAACCATTGGGCTAAACAAAGAAAATTCATTTATTCGTTTTTGTTTTAATTTTACTGACAGTATAAAGTATTGTAAAAAGGCTGTTATTAAAGATACATTAATAAATGTAATAGTATGTTTTCTGAGCCACAAAAAAAAATGTAAAAAAATATAATGTCATTAAAAATAATAAATGCAAAAAATCTATACTTAAAAATAAATCCTATAAGAAGACAATATCATTATTTTAGTTACATTTATAAAAAATAAAAATTAAAGATTCTTGTAGTCTTAAATACAAGTATAATTATACTTTAATTAAAATATTATATAATATTACTACATATACTCAAATGTGTCTCTAAATAATTTTATAGTAATATTTATTAGGCAGATGGATATACAAATGAGAGAGGCAAGTGGTTTAGAGGTCCACAGACAAGAGATAAGCAGAGCTCATGTTATGGGTACTATACAACTGATAGAAATACATAGAAAACATCCAGACCGTTCCTGCTCATGAATACAAACATATTTTGAGAGGCACAACCGGCAATCATCTATACATGTAAATAAAATTAGAGTGTCTGTTTCAATATTACGAAATATCCATTGTTTACTACATGTATATGAATATAAATATAGTACTTATACTAAATTACATTTTTTTACAATTTCTGTCTGTCTGTTCCAGCTAATCTCTAAAATGACTGGACCGATTTTAACGGGACTGTTTTTGGCAGGTAGCTGATGTAATAAGGAGTAACTTAGGCTACTTTTATTTTAGATAAATAAAGTAAAATTCCATGAGGATGAAGTCGCGTGTACAGCTAGTCAAAAATAAAGTGTATGCTACACCACTAGACCAAGGTCAAGACCTGGGCCAAGTGTCTCCAAAGTGATAGGCATCAGCTACTTAATCTTTGTACTCAAATTTTTGACAATTCCAGATAGAACTAGAAAGACTGAATACGGCCACTGATGAGATCAACAGACTGGAAGTAGAACTTGATGAGGCTCGTCTCGCATTTCGGCGCCTCCTAGCTGAAGGCCACCTCCGGATCCAGCAGTTAACTAAGAAGTTGGGAACCAGCGTGCACAAAGCTAGACCTTATTATGAAGCTCGATTTAGATCCAATATTGTAAGTCATTTTAACAATTCATAATTTTTCAGATGTCCCGGGAAGTTTCTTAAGTTAGATTAGGTTGGAGTTTCTGTCTGCCGATTTTTGTCCCAGACGAAAGTTCTCGATAGCGAACTTTGAAAAAAGGCGAGCACAATAGATCTATGTAAGTCGCAGTGCTACAACACCTAACAATATCTCAAAACCGTGGGGAAGGGGATTGTTAGTAATGTGGACTAATGATCCTGTTGCTAGCAATGTACCATGTCAGGTCGACCTCCACGCGGTACCCCCTGGAAACCAACGTGATAAATTCCCGGTGGATTTGTCACGTTGAGCTAACTGATCTGACTTCATGTTCATCCTATCATCCTCCACTGGTGCCCTGCCAGCGTAAACGTTTACGCACGCGGTGCACCATTCCATTATTATACACTAAAAAAAAATCGGAAACACTCAATACAAACAATAATAATATCTCGTCCACACTCTGGTACGGCAAAATGAATCTATCTCTTCTCCAAAACGGCTTAATTTTGATAAAACTTTATATGTATACTTGGTAGATGTGAGAATAGGTTTTATGTATTGTTTATGCCCGTAAGTGATAAAGGAAAAATTTTGAGGTGGACCACCTCAAAATTTTTATTTGACGAAATGGGCAAAAGCTTTTTTTTTATTTTATTATGTGGCATTAAAAATACTTACTATCATTTGTAGTCATCAATCACCATCTATTGTAGTGTTTGATACATAGTAACATTTACAGACATCACAAGAACTGCAAACAGCAACTCTTGCATACGATAAGGCAAACAGTGCCCACGCAGCTGCCAGGGAGATGGTGTTCCTGGCAGAACAGGGTCTGGCGAGGCTCGCGGAGGGCTCTGAAGGTGGGGTCACCCTGGACCCCGCCTGGCAGGAGATGCTTAATCATGCCACACATAGAGTTAACCAGGTAACGTACCTATATCAAAAAATTAATTCATTTTTGTTCTTTATCCTTGTTGTTTGTTCTTATTGCTCTCCGAAACGGCTGGACTGATTTTGACAAGAGTTTCACTCGCAGATAGCAAATTTTATAAGGAGTAATTTAGGCCACTATTATTTTGGATTATTTATTTTAATAAAAATAAAGTTAAATTCCACGCGGATGGAGACGCAGGTAACAGCTAGTCAAAAATAATGCTGTTGCTCATCTCTAAAAACGCTGGACCGATTATGACAGAATTACACTCGCAAGTAGGTAATGTTTTAAGAAGTAACTTAGACTATTCTATTTTAGAAAATGGATTTATTTTTATTTAAAAAAATACTCGCGGAAGAAGTCGGGGGGCACAGCTAATCATAAACAAAAAGGTGTGCTGGGAGATATAATAGAAGTGAAACTTCAACGGACTGCCGTCGTTCTCTCTCTTTCTCTCGCAACGCGATATATGGTGTCCCCCTCCCCATTCGAGGGTAACGCTTGTTCGTGACCGAAAAATCCTATTTATTGTGCAAAAAACAAATACAAAATAGACTTAACTTAGGTTATATATCTATATTAATTCCATATAATTGAAAGGTCACTTCAAAATAATATTTAAAGGCGGAGTCAGACCGCGGGCACGCGACAGAGTCGCTTTTTCGTGAAAAAATAATTCTAATATAGTCTATAGAATTTTAACTTTTAAAAAAAAATTAGGCGGAGTCAGACCGCGCGCACGCAACGGTGACGCAACGAACGAAGGCAGCCGCCCACCGAGCTGCCTCCGCCCTTGTACAGCAACTACAAAATGGCCTCAAGAGACACATAGCAAAGTCCAGGTGAGTCTTACGGATTTGCTTTTCGGACTACTCTAATCCTGTTGGCCGCAGCTAGCCTTTACAGCTTCACAGGACGATAGGGGGCGAGTGCAGATGTCACTCCATACACACGGAAGGACTTATGGAGCGGCTGAAGGCCAACTCTCACCTGACGGATACGACTTTAGTCTGAGGGCACCGCGGGGGGTTCAAACCTCTGCTCAGGCCGTCGTAATTTCGAACCCCGTTTGAATTATATATATATTATGTAAAGCTATATATATTTTTATATTTATATAGCTAAATATAAAAACAATGCTAGTTGTACATGAATGCACGACTCATAACAAATGCTTGTATATTATTGAATACAGTATATACTAGTATTATAAATTAATTGTAGTCACTATTTAAAACAATTCATATGCTTGTGTAGTGACCAATTGGAGTTTATAAATATCTGCATTTACATATATTACTTTGCTCCATACAGTTTGATCTGCTTCCATTAATTTGTAACTGGCACTAAAATTTCCTATTTAGACATTTTTGTAATTGATTCTCTGCTTGCAAATTATAATTAATTATATTAGTCACCTAATAATAATTTTATAATAAATATGAAAATGACCCTTTACACTACAAGTTCTTTCACGCGCGACCAGTAGCCCGATTTAGCGCGGAAAAGTCAGCGCACGAAATCGTAACCTGATTGATCTATTGTCTAAACTTATATATTTTTAAAAATAAAGTTTGTTTATTTACATTTTAACTATTTATTATTAATGCGAGATGATGGAATATGCACTTTCATTTAAGATGTAAGCTGCCGTTATACGGTCTTTCACGCAGAAAAGAATGAGCATGTAAATGTAGACAAAGAGAACGAGAAAAACGTGTCTTAGTGCCTTTTTATAATAATTAATTATCATTGCAAAATGGCGGACATCTGACTACGGAGTAAATGCATAATTATAGAGTCATTCATATTTTTTAAGTCTTTGAATTAAACAAAATCTGTGGAATAAAAAAAATAAACTTTTATGTAAAGTGAAATGAAACATATGCGCAATCTTGCGCAAAAGATTGAACACAAAAACTAGTTAAATGGAATCACTCACGATTACACGCGTTAGCTTTCCCGCGCTGATTCGCGCGCATTTCTGAATCGCGCGTAAAAGAACGTGTCGTGTAAAGTCAGCTTTACATATAGAGATTGCACAAGTGCATTTAAATCTTGAGAATGTTTAATAGTCTTTTACGAGCCGAATTGCGCGTAATCCTGATCTCGCGTCAAAAAACGTATCGTGTAAAGTCAGCTTTACATATAGGGATTGCAAAAGTTCATTCATATCTTGAGAATGTTGAGTAGTGTTGTCAAGCTTTACACAGAGATTGCAAAAGTTCATTTATATCTTGAGAATGTTGAGTAGTGTTGTCAAGCTTTACACAGAGATTGCAAAAGTTCATTTATATCTTGAGAATGTTGAGTAGTGTTGTCAAGCTTTACACAGAGATTGCAAAAGTTCATTTATATCTTGAGAATGTTGAGTAGTGTTGTCAAGCTTTACACAGAGATTGCAAAAGTTCATTTATATCTTGAGAATGTTGAGTAGTGTTGTCAAGCTTTACACAGAGATTGCAAAAGTTCATTTAAATCTTGAGAATGTTGAGTAGTATTTTCAAGCTTTACACATAAAGATTACAAAAGCTCATTTATATTTTGAGAATGTTGAGTAGTCATTTAAACTTTACACATAGAGATTACAAAAGTGCATTTAAATCTTGAGAATGTCGAGTAGTGTTGTACCTTTGCTTAATTAGTGGCACAAACATTTTTTTCCGCAGGCTGACCCACGCAGACACGGGCACCTTCACTAGTGGTACTAATTTTATTTTAACTATACCTTTTTGCATGGCTATAACTCCTGCATGCTACTTGTAGCCTATTTAGTTTTTTATTTCATTATAATTATAAAAGTTATATTTTACTAGCTGTCCCGTCAAACGTTGTTATGCTATATAGATTTAAGTACTAATATCACTGTTAAAAATAGGAGTTGGTGGTAGAAGGGTGAAAATGTTCACTTTTATATAGCTTTATATACTTTTATATTTTTAACTAGCTACTCACCCCGGCTTTGCACGGGTGTACACTGTACATGTATTATATATATAAACCTTCCTTTTGATTCACTCTATCTATTTAAAAAAACGCTTCAAAATCCATTGCGTAGTTTTAAAAATTTAAGGATACATAGGGATGGACAGACAGCGACTATGTTTTATACTATGTAATGATGCCAAAACATATAAAAAGAAAAAAATAATATTAGGGACACTTAGGGATGTGAAAAATAGATGGTAGTTGATTCTGAGACCTACTGAATGTGGAATAAAATTTCATTAAAATCGGTCAAGCTTTGGAAGAATATTGTAACTTGTGAGAAACGAGAATTTTATGAATAGAATAGAATAGAAAATCATTTATTCAAATAAACTTAATTTAAGCAATTTTGAATAGTCAACATTTTTTTAAATCTACCGCTTATTCGGAAAGCTGTCTCATCACAAGAAGAATAAGCAAGAAACTTGTGTGTTGCTCTTTTAAACAATCCTTGTAAGTTCACATTTTACAAGTCGAAACGTGTGAATACAAACTACCAACCAGCACTAATTTATTTAGGCTCAAATATAAAAACACAATAAGATTAAATCAGTCGTATGTATAAGTTTGTAGAATGGATAATTATTATTATAAGAGTAATATTAATAATCTAAGGACAATTCACTCAGCGCCATCTAGACCCAACTTAAGCAAGCTAAAGCTTGTGTTGGGGGGGACACATACAAAAACTTTCACATTTACTGATAAGACGTAGGTCTGGCCGTCGTGGGCTCTTGAGCTATTACTATTGCTATTAGAAAAGCAGTAGAACGATGAAAAGGAAAAAAAAAATATTGTTACATGTATTTCTTAAAGCCAAAACATAAAGAACTTAAAATACAAACTATTTATAAAGTCTGTTTGGGAATACATGTATTTGTTAATTCTTAACTATCTATACATATAAATAAAATTGGAGTGTCTGTTTGTAATATTAAATAACCGTTTTTTACTACATGCATATGACTAAAAATACGGTACATACACCAAAATAACATTTTTTACAATTTTTATCTGTCTATCTGTTTGTTCCGGCTAATCTCTGAAATGGCTGGACCGATTTTGACGGGACTTTTATTGGCAGGTAGCTGATGTAATAAGGAGTAACTTAGGCTACTTTTATTTTAGAAAAATAAAGTTGAAATTCCACGCGGACGAATTCGCGAGAACAGCTAGTTCAAGAATATATTTATAGCAACTTGTCGGGTCTACTATCCTGTTAGTCATAACAGTTATTTTATCACAATTGGAGTTAGTTTTATTTATAGTTAAAGGTTAAATGTTTATTGACCACAAAACCATCAACAAATATAGACCGCATAGCTTCTTCTCTCCGCATATTTTCATTACTTGGTGGTTGGTTATCCTGTCTATAATGATCACTTTGGTTGATTGAAAATAGGATTCAGAAAATTTTCATTCACATGTGATTTATATTTTTATTTCCACAACATCGTCAGTTCATATTTGTAGATACTATGTATTGACGTTAATGAAATGATAAAAATAAATAAAACATTTATACAACATCCTCTATTATTTTGTTATTAAATCAACTACTATTTAGTTGACACATTTAAAATTGATTAGAAAAAAATTAATTTATTAGGAAAGATAGGTCCCTTCTTATTCTTTTACTTACTCCTTATTCTTTGTAATAAATTAGAAATATTTCCTATATTTTCTTTCCCTATATGCTAGCTCACATGTTCTGTAAGAATTACATTATAATTCCTCCAGCCATTATTGCGTGAATCCTTAACACACAAACAAATAAACTTACAGGCAGTTTACCACTCGTCACGATTTTGTGTCGAAAATGATGTCGTAATTTTGGTGCTGAATGTGAAATTGTAAAATTATTAGCATAAATAAATAGTTAAAGAAAATCCTATTAATTTTAATTGAATGTAATATTACGTTCCTATTATCAATCATCCAAAGTGGGAATTTTAGCACATTTAAGAAGAATTTATCATATGGACACCTTTCAGACCGTATTTTGAGGAGAAAGCGCGCATTAACTCTGCGCTGGAGAACCAGAAAGCGAGGATCCAAACCCTGGAGGAGCAGGTGGCGGAAGCTAAACAGCAATACTCCTCTGCCTTGAGGAACCTGGAGAGGATATCTGATGAAATTCATAGGCATCGGTCAAGACGACAGTCTGCCAGGAATGGTAATTAATCTATACATATAAAAAATCTTACATTAAACAGTAATTTAAAAAAAATGTCGGTCTGTCTGTTCTGACTAATCTCTGAAATGGCTGGATCGATTTTAACTTGACTTTTTACAAAATATACAAGTAATTAAACTAGACGTGTCTGTTTATAATTTCAAATTAACAGCTTTTTACTAAATACATATGAAGGTATGCGGTACTTAAATAAATAATAATTTAATGTTCAAAGTTTATATCTGTATATCTATTTGTCCTGAGTAATCTTTGTAACGGCTGGACTGATTTTGACGGGATATTCACTTGCAGAATTTGCACCTAATGTTATATCAAGTAACTGACACTAAGTTTAACTATTATCTTACAAATTTTCGTCATAAAAAAAGTTTAAATGGAATCAGAGAAAGTCGCGGAAAACACCTTGCGGTTGATACAATTTTTAATTTACAATATTTAATTTTTGAATGGTTTATATCCACTCGGTATTTAATGTGATAAAAATTTCAGGAACTCAAATAGACATCGACCGGTCTACCATAACGGATACGGCCAGTGATACCAACACGACGACAAGTGACAAGCTGGAGGAGTTGTGCGACCACAGCGCTGACGCCAGCGTCCGGGAGTGGCTGCGGCGGACGGCGGACGCCAGGCCCAGGTGTCTCACGGACGCCGACACCTGGACCGAGATCGACCTGGACTACTCCAGCCCCGAAGAGGTAACGTATCCTGGAGACGAGGTGTACTCTATTAAAGACAGATTATATATATTACAGCATTAAAGTAGACTGAAAAAAAAAGGGACCGTTAGAATTATATAGAAGCATGACATATTGTATTGCTGTATCTTATGTTGGTAATCTTAAAAGTAAATAAATAATATTTTATAGATAAGTTTCGAGAAATGCTCTCTTCGTCCACGCTCCACGCCTGAGAAGTGTTCCCCACCAAGTCCCATGGAGTCCAAGGTATCTGCGGCATCCCCTCGTCGCATCATCAGGTCCGTGGACCGCAACGCCTGCCTCCGAGCCGAGCTGGAGAAGGGCAGGCGACAGAGCTTGGATGCGATCCTTCACGACACCGGGGAGAAGGTCAAAGAAATGTTTCAAGGTCAGTTTCGATGTTACTCAAATTCATGAATCATTCATTCATTTAGGAAATTTCAGCTGCTTATGAACGTAATTTTTTGTTATAATTAATATTTTTCCCTGCCATGCCTACATAGGTGTCTAAGTCGATCGTTAAATGAAAATTCCGTGCATGAACAAATATTCCAACGCATTTTGTCGTTTAAGTAATCGGTAATAATAATAATAATAATTCAGCGCCATCTTGTTTTTATTATAATTTATGTTGTAACTGTTGTTCGTTGGGTTATATAGATTAAACAGAACAGAACGAAAGAATTAACAAAAAAAAGTAGTTAAATGCAAACCCTCACGATTGCACGCTGGCTTTCCCGCACCAAATCTGTAAAGGCAGCTATTTACATAAAAAAGAGACGTTTATCCGAGTATTTGTATGATGTACTCGCGGGCAGGGTTGTCGCTGTTCGGCGAGCGGCGCGGGTCGTCGTCGGCCCCGCGGTCGCCCCGCCGCGCGTCGCCCGGCCGACCCCACGCCGCCTCCTCCTCCGACGAGCGGTATTCCGACACCGACAGTCTTGCCAGGTATTTGAGCAGCAGTTTTAAATCCTATATTTAGCACTATCCGTTTGTACAGACATACTGTGTCAGACACACGCCACTGTTCTCCCTCGCCGTTCACAGTAACGCCAGCAGTGTGCGCTAGAAACGACATAATGCTTCTTTCTCTTTCCCACATATATACATACCAAACTATAGAAATATTCGTCTTCTTAATTATCGGCTCTCAGACACATACCACTGAGAACAGTCGCTGTTCGCAGTTATGCCCACTTGACGCCAGCAATGTGCGCTAGAGATAAGATAATGCTTCTTTCTCTTTCCCACATATATACGTACCACACTAAATATTTATCTTCCTAATTATCGGCTCTCAGACACACACCACTATTCTCACTCGCCGTTCACAACTTATGACTGTATGACGCCAGCTGTGTGCGATAGAGACGATATACATTCCCATATATATGACACTGTTATCCATGACGCCAGAAACACCAGGGGTATACCCTTAAAAATCATAATATACCCTTCTTAAAAGCTCCACGCTGTAGTGTCTAGTGAAAACCTCGGCAGGTATTTCATTCCCCAATCTATGTGTACGCAAGAAGAAACTCCTCTGAAACCGCACTGTCCAAGACCACTTAGGTTCCACCGTGTAGGGATGAATTCCCTGTCGATGGCGAGCTGCGCGATGGTATGTGATATATATATTCTTTATTCTAGCGTGGAAATGCTCACCGATGATCAAATAGCATCACTCATGCTCGACGCACAGCTTGAAGCAGTCTGCGAAAGACTAGCCGGCGTCGCGGTACGACAGCCGCGCTCCCCCAATTCCCCCGAAGCCAGATTTTGAACCGTAACTCTAAATACATAAGGTATACTTTACCTTAACATGACACACCTGATATTCTAGATCTTTAATTTGGAAAGTACAAGTTTTGCTTATCATATAAAAGTAATTGTCAACCGTAAAGCGTAGATAATAAGGTGCAATATAATTTAAGATTATTTCACAGAAATAGATTTGTGTATTGTAGTTTTGGTTTGTTACGTCGACTTTGTTCTATGTTTATTTCAGAATAACACTTGTCCATAGAGTTACATATGAATGTGTATGGTTATAAGGGCAGAGGAAGGCCGAAAAAGATATGGATGGACGGTGTGAAAGATGATATGGTAAGAAAGGAAGAGTGCTTAATTTTTAGTGCTTATTTTAGCTTCTAATCTATAAAAATTGTAAATTTATTCTGGAAAAGATATAGCAATGCATTTAGAATAATTCATAAAAAAAAATATATTTATAAGAATAACACATATATACATAAGTTTGCAATATTGAACTCTATTACAAGGGATTGAAGGTACAATTTAGAATGTGTATTACGATATATTTATCCAAGTAATTATCGTAAGAGTCGCAGGTATGATTCTCGTGACGTGTTATGCAATATTTTTAAGTGCAATCGATAATATAAAGTACATTCCAATATGATTTGAAATAGCATAATAAAAAAATAGAGTAAGAATAGGTTCTTAGATACTCCGTAAATGAAACCTAGAGTAATATAAAAAAGACAGAGAGAGTGCACTCTGTTAGAAGGAAGTATATACTATATCCTATTCAAAAGTGCTTAAATATAAGTTTATTTGAATACAGAATTTTGTATTCTATTCTATTCTATATTGCTTTGAGAAATTCATTCATTCATTCATTCATTCATTCAAAGATACCTAATACGTTGACTGCCAACTACAAGTTATTTCGTAATGTGTTTACTTGCTTAAAATTAATTAAATATCATTATCATATATTAATAAATATTATTATCATTACGATAAATATTAATAAATATTTATTAAATTTATAAAATTAATATTTACATTAATTTACATTTGCATACTCAAAATGTAGCTGAATATATAACTGTGTATTCATTTCTAAAAACAAGGTAACCTATTCAAAGCAAATAAATAAACGACCAAAAAGTTGAATTATAAAAGTAATATTCATTCAGGAAATAAAATAAAATTTATTGTTTGTGAAATTAAAAAAAAACATGTATGTTTTTGTACAATTAGAATTTTTAATAATATAATGTGAGCAAAAGAAATTGTCATTTTGGCAGTCAACCTGTTAATGAGGTATGTATGTTATAACAACATACTTATGTATGTTTCAAATAATTAATGAATAGGCGACAGGGTCCTATGGACACCTGAGTGAAACCGAAGCTTGCCACTAGTATAGATAAACATCTAAATATCCTCACACCTATTTATAATTTAATTAATATAATATAGTGATATATTTTAAGAAATGTGTTACATATGAATGTCGATGGTTATAATGGTAGAGGTAGAGGAAAGAGGAAAAGAGATGCATGGACTGTGTGAAAGATGACATAGCAAGAAAGAATATAACGAGATGACTGCGAACAGGGATGAATGGAAGAGAAAAACATATTACACCGACCACAAATAAATGGGATAAGGAAGAAGCAGATGATAATAATCTTTCAACTGTTACCTGTCAAAATGACATTAACGCCCCATCTGTGAGATCAATTGCAGGACTTGTCACAGATGGGGGTTAAACCCAGCTGTGGATAATCCAATAATTTTATAAAGTGGTTTCAAAATAGTCCAATAAAATTTTAATATAAACCATGATGTGATCGTTATGGCGCAATTTATAAAAATAAACCCGTAAATACGTGAATAATATTCAGAAAGAAATTTTGATTTACATTGACGGGAAAAGGATGTAAAATTAAAAATAGGGTTGAAAGACGTCTTTTTCCAAAATAACTCGATAATGGTATGAAATATGAAAAAATGTTTTAAATAAAAGTTGTAGAGAAAAAAAATCTGCACAAAACAGGTCCTGTTCATTTTTTCATTATCTGCTGTTGTTTAGCCACAAAAACTTGTTAGATGAAATTTGACTGTTCTTAAATTTGCTTAAAACTTATTGGAACCTCCTCAGATGGCACTATATTTTCAGAGTCCGATAATTGGTTCTTTCGCAGATGAGAGGTTAATATAGTGACATATAATAATAATGATTCTTTCCTACTATAAATTATGCAATATTTTTTCACACAAAACTATAAAAACATATCATATGACAAGTCATATAAATAACGTATAAATCATCTAGTTGATAAAGTTCTTACATATGTAATAAACAAATTAGTAATGGAATTTGAATCTTATATACATATATCACACGCTATATATTAAATAGTTTCTTTTTCGTTGTTTTTGGATGATAGGCAGCTAGCCAGAAACAAATTTCGATGACCAATATTGCTCTCAACTGGAAATAGATATTAAATAGATTTTCGCAGTTTTTTTTACCTACATGGCCCACGAGCCAGAAACAAGTTACGATGACCGTTTTTCTCTCAGCTGAAAATAGATATTAAATAGGATTTGTCGTTGTTTTTGACATATATGGCTCGCGAGCCAAAAACATATTCCGATGACCAATTTCCTCTCAGTTTAAAATTTCTAAAATAGTTATATTCTGAAGCATAGTGAACAACAGCTGCGGTTACTAGAGCGAGTTGTGGAGAAGCAACCTTGTAAACATGTAAAAAAAATTGAAATGATTGACGAAATTTGTCTCTAGCTGGCCTTCAGGCGCTCCATAAATCTTTCCGCGGGCTTGAAGTGACATCTGTACTCGCCCATTATCGTCCGGTGAAGCTGTAAAAGCTAGCTGCGGCCAACAGCATTAGAGTAGTTCGACAAAAATAAGGCGACTTATAGCGCGCCATACCCAATCTATTACACCGGTTATTCCCTATAACCTTAGAATAGTAGAAAATTCAATTATATTATGCAATAAGCGAAATGATAATAATATTAATGTTAGTTAGGACCGTGTATAAAATAATGAAATGCCTAAAAATAATTATTAAATCGTTTAGTTCATAAATTATAATATGTATATACTCATTATGATTTAAAATTGTTTATGCTTTTTTTGGCTGTGTTTTTACACAAATTTGAAATGAAATCAAGCTTCTCTATTAAAATATGACAACAAATTAAAAGATTGTAATTTTTGTAAAAACAACTATGATATTTTGCTTTAAAGTCGATTTTCCAAAATTTGTATATTTTAGTTAATACAGTTTATTATTAAGTGCGTCTTCAATGTAGTGCGTCATGTGTATTGAACACATGACGCATTACATTGAAGACGCATACAATTGTTGCGTCTTCAAAGAAATGTACAATAGGGGCTATCCATAAATTACGTCATATTTAGACAAAGTGTGACGAAGTTTGTCAGTATGTGATGAAGTGTGACATTCTGTGACAAGAAGTGGGAAGAGTCCTAATTCAAATTCAAATTCAAAAATCATTTATTAATGTAGGACATTTTAGCTGCTTATGAACGGTAGAAACATTTGTATACACGAGTATGATTGTTTGTATTAGTCTGGGTGTTTTCTGTGTGTAATATGTATGTATATATGAAAACAAAATATCTATATATCAGTTATCCAATACCCATAACACAAGCTTAACTATCTTAACTTGGGTCTAGATGGCGCTGTGTAAATTGTCCTGAGATTATTATTATTATTGTGAGACCTTTCACATCAGGAGGGTTAAAAAAATCGTGACGTCATTTATGGATGGTCGTTTACTGTACATTAAATATTTATATTACATTATGTTATATATTTATTGTCAAAATGGTAGTCAAATATATGTATATATATCACAGAGAAATGTGGGAATGTCAAGACGTTCATCACGACGTAGACACTTGCCAATGCCTCTGACTATCCTATACGGGATAACAGTCGCAAATATTTATTAAAAATTCAATATATTTATAATTATAACACAGTATTATTAAATTAATTTCGTATACTAAGTAGTTCATTAGATTTATGATCGGCGCCATGTTTGTAGTGATTATATTTCCCGCCATTTTATTTTTTTATTTTTTAAACCAAAATTATTTGTGGCTACGATCATAGTGTATTAATTATTGGATACTCATCTTTTTTATAAATTTTGTTACTTTTATATATTTTTAGCAAAATTTCTATTATATTTATATTAATTTATTTTTGCTCAGTCTTCCATGATTTAAAGTATTTCCTGTTACATCATATTATATAAATTGAAAGTTTTCGTCGTAATCGTGTATATATTTAAGTGATATTGTTAACTATTTTATTAGTATTATGCCTGACCATAGACTGGCCGCTTATAATTTATTTTCAATCTAATATGTAGATTCATTTTAAAAGATAATGTTAATTGAAGTACAATTTTTGTAAAGGGGCTATCAAACGTTGTTGTTGACAAAGTGTGTCATTGTATATCAAGGGGCTAAAGGAGTCAATAATTTCGCGTATGAAATGATGATATCTAAGACTACTCTCACTCTCTTAAGAGGACTCTTAGATTTTTGACATTACATTTCAATTGTAGTAATTAAATACTAAATTTTAGCTATTAACCCGCTCTTTTGTCACAGCTTAGATGTTACTTCCTTAACTTACTTAAATGTCTTTTAAGGGAGTTATAGTATAGCATATGAGGCATGTCTTAGACTTCTAGAATGGCAATGCATAAGTATCACGGCGTAATGATAACGTGATGTTTGGAGAACAGTTACTGGTTACGTTGTTTGCTAGTTACATAAAAAACGTATGACAACCCAACAACTTTTGTAATTTCAAATTGTCATCCGTATAATGACCTTAGAAATTATTTTGCATTTAGATAAATTATTTATTTAATACCCCTGTCCTTAGACAGGTCGTGACGTATGGATATTGAATGTAGCATTTAGTTGTAAAAGAGTTTTGTTGATTTGAA